CACCTTCTGCTGATCTTCAGGAGTATTTGGCAAGAAAGACCAATGAGGAAACATCTAGGAGAAACAAGATGGTGGAACAGGGTGAGGACACATTTAAACAATCATTAGCCAGAGTGAAGCAGAGAGACCACAAACCCAGGAAATACGGGAGGACAGGCCGACAGCAGAGGGACACCTGGAGAGCCACGGACATGGGGAAGCAGCAGAGACAGCAAACAGTGTTGCAGTGACCAGATACCCCAGTAGTGGTCAGCAACCAGCAATTGGAGCTTCACCAGCAGCCAGGTTGGAAGGGGAGTTCACCAGGAGTTCAAGAGGTGAACCCAGGCATAGAACCTGCCCGCAGAAGCAGAGTGGCAGAATCAAGCAGGTGGAAGGTGGAACAGGCTGGATCTCATGGCTCAGACGCCCCACCAGTGCCATGTTGGGTGCCATTTTGTGTACCGAGGAAAAGGCCGGGGGGCTGAAGGAATAACAGTGAGCTGAACATGCATTAACCCAGGAACGAGCTCACTTCTGGCTCAACGCATTGCACCCTTCCCACAGGGAAAACAGTGCCAACTTGGCATTCTGCAAGTTCCATTTGTAATAGGTCCACATGGCCTCCAAACCTAAGAGCTGGCAGGCCCACACCTCCACCAGTGCCATTTTGTGTACTGAGGAAAAGGCTATGGGACTGAAAAAAACAACTGCAAGCTGCACAGGCACTGAGCCAGAAGAGAACTCACTTCCAGCTCAGCACATTGCACTGGTCTCACAGGTAAGAAAGTACCAACTTGGCATCCTACAGGTTCTACCCAACAGGTCCACGTGGCAGTCAGACCTAATGGCCCACAGGTTCTGGCAAGACCAGCACTGGGGCTAACCCAGTAATTTAGGACAGTTGATGTCTCCCTAATCCTGGGTACTTCTGCCAGGAGTAGGAGAAAGACTGCAGACAGGGTGCAGCCACAGCACAGGATCACAGTGGATGGAGAGTGCTGAGTAGGAACTGGGGCTACAGAGACTGTGGCACAGCTGGCACAAGAGCCTGCGACTAAAACTTGCTGGAAGGAATGGCACAAGTGACTATAAATGAAGAACTGGGTACAGAACGCAATCAGTAAAATTGACCTGTGGACCAGTAGACAACACAGCTTAGAAACCTGCCCTAAGGAAAGGATCTGCTAACCAGAAGTGTAGTGACCAAGAACAAGAGACAGAAGTACAACTATTATTACTGATGCCTCCCCTGCAAAGGAACAAAAACCTGTGTCAACTTTAGAGTTAACTGATGAAGACATTGAGGAAATGGGAGAACAGCCCAAAGCCTTGGAATTCTGCACCTGCATGTGAGACCCAGAAGTTCCTGGCTACCGGCTTTGAATCAGCTCATCTCTGGCCAACACAGCCACTCAGCGAGTAAACTGGCAGACAGAAGAACTTTCCTGTGTCTCTCCTTCTCTCCGTATATCTGCCTTTCCAGCAAAAATAAATAAACCTTTAAAAAAATTCATCAGCCATGCATCTTAGATTAGCAGCCTGAACCAATAAATAAAACCCATCTATCTTGCCTACAGGAAACACATCTCACCAACAAAGATATACGGAAACTGAAAGTGAAAGGATGGAAAAAAAATAGTCCAGGCTAATGGAAAGAAAAAACAAGCTGGTGTAACCATTTCTTTATCACATTATATAGACTTTGACATGAAAAAATATTAACAGAGAAGAAGGACACCACATAATGATCAAAGGACCCATCCAGCAAGAAGAGATCACCTTATTAATTTCTTAGGATGTTTTCTTTTTCATCTCTAATTTCACTCAGTTTTTCTCTCTTGCTTTTCTTTGCTAATCTGGCTAAAGTTTGTTTTCCTCACCTTAAAAGCGGTTCTTTCGAACTGCTGCCACGAGCTTTTGAAAAGAGGGATTTATCTTTTTAAATATATCTGCATTTAAATTGTGCCTACTAAATCAACCTCATCAATTGCATTGTTCAGATCCTTTTTACTATTTCCATATTTGATTTTCTAAAGAAAGAGAATAATATAGTGAAATTAAAAAAAGTAAAAACAGAAACAGCAAAGAAAAAAAAGTGACTCTCTTGTTGCAAATTGTAGTTCTTTTAGTTTCAATTCCATTTATTTTTGCTGTGACTTTTTAGCATTTCTTGCTTCCTGTTCACTTTTTTTAGTAAGTCCTTGCATTAGATAGCCTGAGGTACTGTAATTTTTGTAAGCACCTGATGTTACAAATGTCTCTCTCAATACAGTTTTGATATTGGTTTAGTTTTTAGTTTCATTTCTTCAAAAAAGTTATTTTTTTTAACTTCTTCACTGACACATAGGTCATACAGTAGCATTGTTTTCTTCAAGAAATTTTTTAAATTTTCTTTTTCATTTTTTCAGTGACACACGAGATAGTCAGCAGCATGTTATTTAACTTCATGTTGTAAATTCTCTATTTTTCTCTCTGTTACTGATTTGTCTTATAACTTTTCTTTGAAGGGGATATATAGTAACTGTGTAATAAGGACTATCATATCCAGATGTGAAGATACATGTAGTATGCACATCTCTACTTCCAAATCGAACATGGGGACCCAATGAAACTGTTACGTATAATTTGACGATCGGATGCTGGACTCTCTGCCACTGTCCATGCCTACAATGTCAGGACACACTGAGTAGCAGAATGATGGACTTCTGACTTGTGATTTGGGACTGTTTATGAAGGACTACACTATTAAAATAATATGGGGCCAATCAGTTGGTAGGGGGAACTTTGGGGTGGGGAAAGGAAATCCCAAAGTCTATAAAACTGTATCATAAAATAATAATAATAAAAAAAAGAAATATCTAAAGAGGCAGGCTTTTAGGGAGGAGATGAAGGTGCGTCTTGGGGCTTGTGCATTTCACATCAGAGTTCCTGGGACTGAGTCCCCTGCTCCTGCTGTTCCAGCTTCCTGCCGGTACCCATCCTGGGAGGCAGCAAGCAAGGGCTTATGGATCTGGGTTCCTGCCACCCCTGTGGGACACCGAAATTTGGTCTCCTGCCTTTGACCTGGCCTGGCCTCAGCTGTTGTATTAGGGGAACTCACTGGCTCTGCTTTTTCAAATAAGTAAAATAATGAATAAATGTAAATATTTCTAAAAGTTTATTAAAGAATAAACATTTCGTATTAAAGAAAAAAAAAGTACCTAACAGATGTGAGTAGTTCCAGTGCCAACACTAAACACATGGTCATTCCTTCTCTGGGAAGAATATAAAATAATACAATCACAAATTTTAAAAGGACCGCTATCTAGGTATCAATGCAAGCCTTGGGGCAGCCTTGTTACATGCAAATAAAACATTCTCTCTAAGAAATAATTTGGAATTTCTGTGTTGATATCCAGTTCTTGCCTTTCCCTTGTATTGATTCTAAACTTAGCTAGACTGTGATAGGCTCACAGGAAAAAGAAAAAAGCCTTATGTGCTCCTGCTCCTGAGGGCAAGGTGAGGTAGCTGACAGCACGTGTGGGGGCGTGACACACTTTGCCACCTGTGTGCTGTCAGCTTCCAGCAGCAGCGAGCAAAGCGCGGAAGGAAGTCTGTGACAAGCAGCACGCACAGGTCATCAGGTCATCAGGATGCTCAAGGTGTGGCTGACCAAGGAAGGCGATCATGACATCATGACAGTTCAGCTTTAACCTAAGAGGCTGCCCATTCTTCCTACCACTCTTAAAGGGCAGAGAGCACATCACCGAAATTTTAGGCAAGCACTCTTTGGCAACAGTTAACATCAACAACAAGGCCATGGATTAACACCAGGTGTTTTAGATCAAATTTGTATGGGAAACGATCACACCGATTCATACACAATTGCAAACAAATAATGCTCGTAGGCAAACATGTTATGCTTTATTGATTTTAAAAATACACTTATTTAACTCTAGAAAAACTCTCTCTCTCTCTCTCCACAGCGCATTTGTACAAAGACAGATCAGAGGTTGGGCAGCTGGGACTGAAACTAAAGCCCAAATGGGATGCTGGTGTTACACATAACAGCTTAACATGCTACATCACAATGCCAACACCAATGAACACCACTGTTCAATGCCATTCCCATAATATTTAGCAAGGAGACTGCCAGCCAATTTGGGGAAAAGAAAAACTACCAGGACTTTAGGAATAAAAATGTACCATTTATTAATAAAATGATAAAAAGTACAATGGTTGTATATAAAATAATGTTGTATATTTTTCAGTGAAAACATGTTCTCTTAGTCTGTTAGACTTACATATTGTGAAGATAACAGTAGAAAAGCCATAACATCAAATCTTGATTTCTATTTAAGTGTGTTTCTTTCCAGACAGATGAGATAGGTTTTTGGTTTTTGCTATTTCATTTTTCATGATACTGTTCCTTAGGCACAGGGATTTCTATTTCATCCCCACTTCCCCTGTCAATGTTTCCCCCCATATTGTTACAACAGTACAGTTTTAAGGTTTAGAACAGGTGGGAGCAGGGACCGACGGTGTGGCCAAGCAGCTAAAGTCCTTGCGTTGAACACACCAGGATCCCATACGGGCACCAGTTCTAATCCTGGCAGCTCCACTTCCCATCCTGCTCCCTGCTTGTGGCCTGGGAAAGCAGTCAAGGATGGCCTAATGCTTTGGGAGACCTAGAGGAAGTTCCTGGCTGCTGGCTTGGGATCAGCACAGCACCAGCCGTTGCACTCACTGGGGGAGAGAATCATCAGACAGAAGACCTTCCTCTCTATTTCTCCTCCTCTCTGTTTGTCTGACTTTGTCATAAAAATAAATTAATATTTAAAAAAAAAGAATAGCTGGGTGTGCCCATAAGACTATCTTCACTGGACATCAGTAAACTTTTCTCAGCTTTCTAAATGAAGAGTTCTAAAAAATACATCATCTGGCATTGCATTTGAGAAAACCTCAGGCAACCTCCCAAGCTACCTCCAAAACACTTTACAAAAGCCAACATCAGCAAATAATTTTTTTAAATTACTTACCAATATTAATTGCAGTTTCTTGTTTGTCTCCTGTCAACACCCATATTTTAATTTCTGCCTTCAGTAAAGTTGCTATAGTTTCTGGCACCCCAGCCTGAAGACGGTCTTCTATGGCTGTGGCTCCAAGTAACAGTAAATTCTAGAATGAAAAATAACTTCAATCAGTGGTGGATTCATTCTGAAGTGCAGCATGAGCAACAAAATACCAACAACAGAAAGGCATTGATAGCATCCTAAAATGGTTATTTTATTTCCTCCACATTATCCCTGGGTTTGTAGTTGACTAATACATTTTGGCGTAGGGCTGTCCAATGATTTCTCATGTTACGACTACTACACACAGGCGGGCAACCCAGCACCAGCCATTCATGTCGTGACATATAGGCATGTTAGAAAATCACAGGCCAGTAGAGTGTGTGACAAGTGCTCCAGAGCTTGGCGACTTTGTGAGTCTGCCTCCCTTTAGCCGCCACGTTAAGCACTGTGCTTTATTCAACACAAGAGAACCGGTTCTAGAGGAACCACTTACCTGGAAGATGAGAAGGGACTTACGGGTCTGAGAATTGAACAGTTAAAAAGGAAAGCATCCAAGTACAAGGCTGCCCCCTGGTCATCCACTTCCAGGCCCAGGATGGGTCAGCTGGGACTAAGGGCAGGCATGCAAGTGCAGTCGCCCTGGCTGTCTGCATTCTTCCTGCTGACCTGGCAGATTCCACAGCCTCTGCACGACAGCCTGCATGCTGTGTGGGAAAACAGCTAGCTCCTGAGTTTCCAACCCAGGCCTGACACCACAACATGGGCATGTCACCCATTTGATGACTTTTACAATAATTAGTCTGGAAGACATTTTGGATGCTTCCATTATTAAATTTACTTTGGTATAGCCATGTTTCCATGCTTAGCTGATAAAGTTGAGTCCATAGCGGCCTGTGTACATAGCAAACAGTTCTTTATCTTAATGTGCAACTGAACTATAATCCAAATGAAGGATGCTGTTGTAACCAAGTAACTGAGTCTCAGTCCAGTGCAGATGCTGAACTTCCAGACAGTGAAGGCCTGAGAGCGGCCCAAACAGAACCTCATAAGGCAGATGCTGACACTAGCCGATGAAGCTGCTTCCGCACTCATTTCCTGTACCCTGGCTGTAAATACATCCTGCAAATGTTGTGGAGTAGGGTATTCAGAATCATCCTTAGTCAGGCCTGCTTGCTCTGTTCTAGAATCTTGTTTGCTTAAGTAAATTTTGTTGAAAGTAACTTGACTCAGGGTCTTTTTCTCCTTAAATACCACTAAAGCAAGGCAAATGAAGGCTTAGATTCAGTCTTTCTCTTATCAAAATTCGACTGCAATGTCAATGCTGAGAACATAAAAGAAAAAGAGAAGTTGAAAAAAAACAATAGATGATGGGGAAAAGTGAACAGCCACAGAAACTAGAAAATGGATGGCCAGTATCTGCTCATAAGAAACAGGAAAAAGGGCCCGGCGCAGTGGTGCAGTGGTTAAGGTCCTCGCCTTGCACACCCGGGATCTCATATGGGCACCAGTTCTATCCCGGCGGCCCCGCTTCCCTTCCAGCTCCCTGCCTGTGGCTTGGGAAAGCAGTCGAGGACAGCCCAAAGCTTTGGGACCCTGCACCCGCGTGGGAGACCCGGAAGAGGCTCCTGGCTTCAGATCGGTATAGCATCGACCGTTGCGCTCACTTGGGGAGTGAATCATCGGACGGAAGATCTTCCTCTCTGTCTCTCCTCTCTGTATATCCACCTTTCCAATAAAAATAAAAATAAATCTTTAAAAAAAAAAAAAGAAACAGGAAAAAAAAATGCTGAAAACCCAGACCACTGATTTAAAGGAGTCTAGTACACAGAAAGCTACTCAATGCCTTCAGATACACTAAAAAGCATAACAGTAAAAAATAAAGATAAACAAGAGGGAGCAGCTATAATGAAGCTTGAAGATCATTAGAATAAGCTAGCTGTGAAATTTCTTAGTGTGTATCATTTCTAACTAGCCTGCACAATATTTTCATTGCACATATAACAGTGTGATAATCTTATCAGGCTTAATGCCAGGCAATCCCTGCAAGTCACCGATGCTGTTTATCTATTAAGACATCATTAATACGAGCTGAGGGTGGATGACCAATGAAAACTAAGAGCTTCCGAGAGCAAAGAAAGAAATGATTTAAAACTAATGTTTCATGAAGACACAAGAAAACAGATCACTCTACAGTAAAAGGACTCCTGGCTAAAGATTTGGTTCAATAGGTGGCGAAGTCCTTCACTGAGTATGTAAAGACCGTATACAGTGCAGTCACCTTCTCAATGATCTCATAGCACTCTTCCAGGCGTTGAGCTCTGTCCTTCAGTATGGTGCTGGCTTCCTGGTAGACTTTCAGCCATTCCTCGTACTCGTTCTCAGAGAGGTCAGCGTAAGCCACGCACAGAGTCCGCAAGCCTGGAAAGTGGGTGTGCATGAGTAGTATACTCACCTCGGGAGGTAGCATGCATTTCCCTTTTATATCAGCATGCTCGAAAAATGAGAGAAACCAAATGCTTTTTGCCATCACCCCAGTATTCACACTCTACATAGAGACATTTTAAAACCATTTTGCTTTCTAATGAAGAATGTCTTCTACAAACTTCTGTGTAAACAAGAATTCTAAGAATGAATTCAACACAACAGAGAGGTAGAGGAGTTATGCACGATCCACGGGCACTTGCGTAGTCAAGCAGGTGTCAGCAAGTAGAAGAGGCAGGAAGTTTGGTTCCAGAAATCAGTAAAAACCCCATGTGCTATTGCCTGAAAGCAGCCACACTCAAGCAGCTATACTCAAGTGCGTGTGTGTGTGTAAGCACGCTTTCGTGTGCATTCAAGAATAGCCTTAAGAACACCCCATGGCAAGAAAGCACCAATCAGCACCAACAACAGACTCAGCTATCATCACCTGTACTCAGACAACATGTGACATCCGTGGTATATGAAGCCTTTGCTGCTCAGGAGGGGATCACTATATTATTTCCAGTCGGTGATAAGCCATAACCCTATGAGAAGGCTAACAGGTGAGGCGTGGAGGTTCGACCACATGACTCCTCTGAGATGCTGGTTGGCAGACGATTCCTCTGCTGTGAGTCTCTGCCTTTCCCCTCTGCACTACTGTGATGACTTAGCAGAGCCACATACAGGTCACTGAGTTCAGACTGTACTGTTCATTTCATCAGTGCCACAGACAGAGGGTGGAGACGGGATGAGACTCGGGCAGGGCACCTAAAGAATACATTCCTACAAAACAAGCTGTCCTACTGCACAAAAAGGCCAGCCTATTCAGACCAGGACTCTCTACCCAAACACACTTAAAAGTTAACTGCAACGGGCCCAAGAAATATTTTCAAACTTCACTTACCTTCTGTAGCAAAATATTCCAGATGACATAAGGTTTCCTCCATGTATTTTGAGTCTTTTGAAAGTCTCTCAAAAATTACATTATCCTATAAGATAGGAAACAGCATGACTGGTGAGACCTTAAGGAAACCTTCCAGGGAGGTTGTTAATAATAACAGCTTTGTTTGGTTGGTGTTTATCAATATGAGAACACTTGAGTGGGCAGGTAGGAATACAGTTCTTGGCCAGGTTCAGGCAGGAGTTTTTGGAAAACAAATTGGATATGAATGTGTCCAACAGAACCAAAAACCTGGTATGTATTTTCAAAGCCAAACCAAAACCCACTGGGGAGAATCCTAGGAGCCAAAGCAACAATCAGGGACTCCGATATCCCAATTATAATACCCATGCAAACCTGCAAAAGCTCATACCCCACATGCATGCATGTATGTGAGTGGGAACGGTAAAAAGCACATCCCAACTGACTCACGTGCAATCACACCTGCTGACACTGGTGGCAGGGGGCGTGCCCCAAAGCAGAGAGGGTACAATGCAGAAGCTGGGACGCACACAGGTGAAGGCAGCTTATTGCCTCTTGATGGTCTCCAAGTCTGACAATCGGGACTAGGGGACTGGATAAGGATTCTCCCTCTTGAACAATGAATTGAATAGGGGGGACTTCAAAAAGACAGTAAAAATACTGATTCAAATGCAAATTTCAGTGCATCTTCCTAATGTGCCTTTTCCATGAGGTTTTGGGAAACCTCTCACATATTATAAATTGCATAGTTTCAGGTCACTGAAAAATATTTTTTAAGAAATCTAGTCTGGCTTAAAGGAGACCAGGTTTGCAGAGAATTCCATCCCATGAAGATAAAATAGACTTTGCAACATTTTCAGACTTCCACCATTGTATATCCAGTCTTCCCTCTCTACTGCCTCACTCCACTCCTTTCACTTGCTGTGGTACTTAGAGCATAATGCCAAATAAACAGAGTTTAAAAAGGAATATAATGTGAGTATATAACCCAGGTGACCTGAATTTAAATTATTGTTTCTATAAGCACAGAATTCTTTCATGGGTCCTGAAATAATGTCATTAGAATTCCCAGGCATTACTCATTTTTAAAATCCCCAGTCAGAGTATACTCAAATGAAACCACTCTTATTCCTACAACTGGTGAAGATTAGCAATATCTTCCATAAATCACTGATCTTCATATAGGTTCCTATTTTTGACATGGTCTCACAAAATAAATATTTCTGTTCCTTAATACATAAGCACATAATTTAACAGGGTAAGTACAATTCATAATCAGTAACACTTGATAACACATGCAGCTTTGGTTACCAGGTGGGAAACAGGACAGAGCCTGACCCAGGACCCCATCTAGGATGGGCAGTACTAACTGGGCCGTGAGTCCTTCCGCGGGCCCTACACCCTAGCTCTCTGTGAGAAGCATCACACCGTGACCCTGAGAAGAATGACTGCTAGAAAAGCAACGCATCACTCTTCCAAGGTTGTCGGAAAACTTATAGTAAGAAAAATCCCATGAGTGGATCTCCAAGCGTTTTACAACTTTTTCATTCTGTCTTTCCACAAATGTTTCAAACTGCGCTCACAGACCAGCGTACTAAAAGATTATCCTGAGTCTACACAAATTGTCTTCGCAGTCATCACACAGAGTGGTAAGAGTGCAATGGAAACTCACACTCTGAGGATCTCACGTGACACAGAAAGTTACTTTCTGAAGCCAACCCACAAAGCGAGCTTTGTGCCAGCCATCTTCAGTCAGGCAGCCTGGAACTTCAGTATCTTGAGTGAACCTGCAAGTGCCTTCCACCCTTGGACAGACGCTCCAGCAGGGGTAAGGGCAGCAGAGAGCAGAGGCTGCCAGGGAACCAAGCGGCTCCCAGAACACCCTGCGGCATTGCATACTTTACTGATACTCACAGCCCCTTTACAGTAGAGTCGAAGTTGTCCTGAAGGAGTTCGAACAATCACCGACATCCTTTTTCTGTCACTGTGCAGGTTAAAAAAAAAAAAAAAGCAAAAACAAAAACAAACAAAAAAAAACCTTGTCACTGATCTGCTTTCGAGGTCTCAGGTCCTGTGACCAAACACTCTCAAAACAAAAGGAACAGTCCCTAGCGCAGTCAAGCTCCTTTCCCCTTACTTTTCCTCTAAAGAGGATGTTCATCATGAACCCACTTTTTTCACTTGTATCTAGTAGATGTCAATCTCTTTCTTTCCCAGCCATAAAGTAAGCACTAGCGCAGCTATTTGCAATAGTATTGCGCTGCAAAGTACATCAAATTAACTTTGACAATACTCTGGAATGCCCATTTGACAGCTCAAAACATGAACCCGACTGTTAACAACCCAGTCATAGTAGAGTAGAACTTTTACAATAACTTTAAAACATACATCACTTAAACACCTCCTCGTTCTGAGTAGTGTTTCGCTCTGCTCTCCTCACAAATCCCTCACCATGACCCACCTGCACTCACTGAGCTTCAGTGACTCCCTGGTTACCTATAAATTCCCTCTTTCTCTTTCTTTACATCTCCCTCTGGAGCCTCACCTTGTGCAACCTCCTCATTTTCCCCAGGCTTCAAGCACACAGGAAATTACCCTCCCTCTTCTTCCATTACGCCAATCCATGCCTTTGCTGCCATTTCATCTCAACTCCTGTGGCCTTTCTGCTGGGTGACTCCCGCTGAACTAACATAAGAGTTGGGGACATTTTCAGCACCCTGGTCCACGGTACTTCCCTATTAAGTTTTCCACTCTCTCTCGGCTGTCTGGTAATTGAATCCTCTTAGTAAGGTTAACCTGCATTTCAGTTTCTCAACAGTTCCCAATGTGTAAAGCATAATTACCATCAAAAGCTTCAAAGAACTATTTTCAACATGAAGTGGCATCAGGAAAAAGACGAGTCAATGGAACAGAAATTGCAACTGCACATGATCTGTTTACTCTTCTACAGCTTGAAAAATAGAACCTTACATCTTCATCCACAGTGGACTGTTCTTGCCTAACTCCTTTTCCCCCTTCTGTTTCATCAATCAACTACTGACCTCAGTTAACACAGAGCCAAAACAGTTTCCAACAAAGAAGAGGTACCAAACAGGTCCAGAGAGATGCTGACCAACAGGAACACCTGCCACCACCCACAGGAACACTGCCTCCCTCCCGCACCCTGCAAGTGCTACTGTCCCCAGCAGTCCCCTATTTCTCCCACTGAATATTTAACCCCAGGGGCTCAAGCCTGCAATCCTAACACGCAGGACTAGGGCTGGAAACTATTTTCTTTAAAAGGATACGACTCTGACTTTCATCAAACAGCTTACAAGGCCAAGAAAGCAAGCAATTTGGGAATCGTTTCCCAAAAGTCATTGCAAATCCCCTGACTTTCAGCAACAGGAAGAGACGCTTCTGAGGCAGCAGCTGAATCTTGCTCTGGCATTGACAGTTCCCCATTAGAAACAAGGAAGGAAATAAAACATTAAGCTGTTCCCTTATAACAGACCACGAATGTTCCAGGAGAACAAAAGAATCCAGCAAATATTCCCAGGTCTTAAATGAAAGAAACTGCAGAAGGCAAGGATGCATCCAAATACATATGAGACAACTGCCCTGGTTAGAGCAGACCTCCGATGGGACGAGTTCAGGGCACCTGTCCTCATCTGCCAGGCTTCTCACAGCGGAGTACCTGACGGTGCTGGAAGCATGACCTCACGGGACCAGGGAAACACCAATGAAAATAATGCCCTCATCACACGCTCCAAGCTATGCAGACACGTCTATGGCTGCTGAGGCAACACTGCCAGACTCTGCAGAGCGGAGGAAAGAGCAGGAGGTGGGAGGATAAAAAGCAATCTACTTCATCATCTTTAATGAAAGTCACAAATTCCAGGGAGAAGCGGGTTTGCAGAGATCAGTTCCCTATGTTTAAGGCTAGAGGACTGACCATATTCAGTCATCCCACAGAATCACACACACTCTGGTGAAGCTATTAAATACACCCAAGTATTTTGTTTCAAGTGTAGAAAAGACAAAACATACCTAGAAAATTCCAGAACATTAAGGATTCCAAATGTCTGCTCCTGTCCCATCTAAAAAAAAAAAAAAAAGAAAAGAAAAAAGAGATTCTCACCTGAGTTGCTAAGTATGGAAAATCTCAAAGCAACTGTCTGGCATTCATCAACACACACACACAGCAGATGCATTTCACGGTGCTCCAGTTTGGTGGGGTCAGAGCTCCCCCCTCTGGCAGAAGCATCTCATTTTCCTGTACATAGGTGGCGTCCTAGCGATTGGCTGGTGTGGCCACTTCCCAGAGATGGCCGACAAGCTACACAGATCCACCAGAACCTGAGGCCAGCTGCGCTTCCAAGGCGAGAAAAATCAGAAACTACATAACCTCTTGACCAAGGGGCGGAGGGGAGAATCCGCAGATGGAGAGAAGAGATTTAGAACTGTAACGTCTCTCTCTCCAAGCAGAGAAGAGACAAGCCCAGTTGGGTTGGGAGGGCTCCCTGGGCAAGAAGGAGGAGGAGATGGCGCTGAGGCCACAGAGCGATGCAAGCTGCCCGCAGAGATGAGAGGGCTTTGAGCTTGTTCTCCAAGCTTCCACAGAGCAGGCAGGAGGCCTGTGAAGCTCTCAGCTATAAATGATTTCCCATCAGCTATGGGATACCTGTGGGGAAGCCACTGCACAAGAACCTACTGCTGCAGTGCAAAGCAGCAGGCCTAAGCTAAGCTGATCACAGAACTGCCACGGCCTTCCAATAAGTTCAAAAGAGAACAGAGGCTCGGTTCCCATGTTTACAGCAGACACACCATGTGACCACTTCCAGCCCCCAGTCAGGGTGCAGAAGGTGGGTTGCTTACCGCCTCTATAATGACAGAGTATGGTGTCCTGCCGGTGAAGACAAAGCCCAGCTTCTTAGCTCCTTTCACCAGCGCAGCTTCGTCTGTGAACAAGGAGGGGGTGGGGATTGACTCATCCCTCTCTGGTAATTAACGAGACCCACTGCACTTAGACACCGGAATGAAAACTTGGGGTACAGAACACTGACTCTTCCTAACTCTAGAGCCCTGAAATGGGAGGACCCAGGTCTAAGGCTAACTCAACATACCAGTGATCCACATTCCTGGTGTTCTCTCTTTAGGATCAAGCTCACTCTAATCAACCTAATATCCCCTGGAATGAGGCAGGTCTTAGTCACGGAACCATTCAGAGCACCAGGGAGTGCACAGAGTGGCTGCTCCAATATGAAGCCCCTTACCCTAGCACCCAGCAAGCCCAGGAGGCATAAGGATGAACAGACACTAATGGGATTCTCTCTTGAGAGAACTGGGTTGTACTAACTTCTGCTGGGAAAGGTAACATGGCCCAGGGCCTCTACCTGCCAAGGCAGTGCTACCTGACAAGTCCGAAGGGCCCAGCACCTGCTCTCTATGGTTTTAGCATCTGTAACCATCGTGAGAGGTCAGAGACAGGGACCTCCCATAAGGCAGTTTGCACCACCGCTTCTTCCACCCGTAACTACAGACACCAAGTTATCCAGGGAAGGAGCTGGCAGGGTACATCTGGCAAGAAGCCTCACCTGGGGAGGAGGCCTGGTAGATGATGTTGTCTCCATCCTTCTCAGGAACCACGGTGTGACACACAGCCAGCAGGGTGAGGAACTCCTGGATGCAAGGGGCTGTGGGCTGCAAACAGGAGACCGAGTTAGCCTGTTGGGAGCAATCCTGTGGCATGCGTCAGAATCAGCTCCAAGGCAGCACCTGCTTCAAGTCCAGTGCTGGATTCTTCTTGCCATTCCAACAGGCTCCAGAGGCTAAGCTGGGCTCCACCTGTGCCCCTTTCTGCCCCACCTCCTTTAGTTCCTCAAACGAAGCGTATCCTTTCCAGGTCCCTCCATCCTGCACCTGCTCACAGCAGGTGCTCTTCCTCCTAACTCACCCCCTGGCCTTCAGGGCCACAGCTGCTTCACCTGAGAAGTGCGTCATTCCCCCTGTCTGGGGATGTGGCTCCCACACACTGGCTCACGCAGTCAGGGGACCTCCAAGAGGCTCCTGCCTTTCGGCTCTCACGAGCTGTCTCCCCACTCTGTAGATCCATGCGGGCTAGTGAGGCTGACCCTTGCTGCTGTGGGCATCCCATCACAGCAAAGACAAGACTCTCCCTGACAAAAACCAGCCAGTCCCTCACCAATGTACTTCAGCTCTGCAGTTCTCCATCCAAGGATTTATTCTACAGCGTGTCTGATCTCTAACTTTTCTTTGCGTACCTGGGAGGAAGCAGATATTCCTCACCTTCCACTATGAAAAAGCAGTGAAAACACAAATTGCCTTAGATATGTATCTAAACAATTTCTCCTATCCCAACTGAAAAAAAAAAACTACAATTTTAACTGAGAAACAAATCACATTTATAACTAATGGGGAAATGGGCTCTCAATACTATTTTCCCACCTAAGGCCTTAAAATCCTTTTTTCAATTATTTTATTCCTATAAGGTGAATAAATTTCACACATTTCATGCACACAGATTTAATAGCAGAGTGGTGCTTCCCATCCTAATCTCCCTTCTTCATTTTTAATTTTAGATTTTACAATGACAGACTTTCAGTTTATTTTGCAATCACAGGCTTACTCTTCCACTGGGTAAAGAATTCAACAAATAGTAAATAGAAAAAACGCTGTTACTCAGGAGTATAAAAAAAGCACTGCCAATAACATTAAAATACCAAACTGCCAGCTTCACTTTTACATCACGCTTTTTCTACTCTGTGTAATACTTACAACAGATCAGGAAACTATGTGATATTTGTCTTTGGGAACTGGCTTCTTTTACTAAGCTAAATGGTTTCCAGTGGCATTCATTTTGCTGTCAGAGACAGGGTTTTGTTCTTCAAAGGACTGAATAGTATTCCATAGTGAATATCTACCACATTTTTATATGTCCTGTCAACAGTTGGTAGATAGCTGGATTGACTCCACACTGCAGCCACTGTGAGTCAGGCCACTGTAAACATGAGGTTGCAGACAACTCTTTCACAAGCTGCCTTTATTTTGATGGGGTAAGTTCCAAGGAGTGGGATGGTTGGGTCACATGCGGGGATCACTTTCAGCTTTCTGAAGAATCTCACGCTGTCCGCCACAATGGCTAGGCATGAAGGAAAGTCCAGCTCAGGGCAAGATTTGAGAGGGTTCAGGCAACACTGGCACGGCACCTCTTTAAATGCTATCACTGAGGCAGTGATGGCTCAAGGGCTAAATCTGCCACTTGCAAGCACTGGTTCTAATCCCGGCTGCCCCACTTCCCATCCTGCTCCCCACCTGTGGCCTGGGAAAGCAGTCGAGGACGGCCCAAAGCTTTGGAAAGACCTGGAAGATTCTGGCTCCTGATCAGCTCAGCTCTAGCCACTGCATCCATTTGGAGAGTGAACCAACAGATGGAAGATCTTTCTCTCTGTCTCTCCTTCTCTCTGTAACTCTGCTTTATCAATAAAATAAATCTTTTTTTTTTTTTTAAAGATTGCCATAGTTATTTGGAGTCTCTTATGCTTCCATATGTATTTTAGCATCATGTTTTTCTATGTTGGAAAAGAATATTGTTGATATTTTGATTGAGATAACACTGAATTTATAAACTGCTTTGAATGTTGTGCACATTTTGATATTAATTCTTCCAATCCATTAAACTTACCAACTTTTTATTTGCTTAAAAGTTTCCAGTGACTTCCATATATGACGCATGGGATTCAATAAAATTTGCTGGATTCCACGGCTTTTGACAGGGATCCTGCCTACAACACCGACAGAGCCTCTACAGAGCTGAATCACAGTCACGTTCCAACTGCAGACAGGATGTGCTACGGCCAACTGAGTGGCCAAGTCACAGCCAATTAACTAGTTAAGCTATAACTGATTGGTTGGTTGATTGAGGTGTAGTTAGTTAACATCTTTCCTGTTTCACCTACATTTTCTACAAATGCTGTCAGATCTGTTGCTAGTTGCAGTTCTCAGACACCACCCCAGTTTGGGGGATGCCTTTTGCTTAGCTAAACTTGTAAATTTAATTGGTCTGAGAAATTTTCCTGTTTTAAACAATATTGTTTAAATTTATTTTAATTTTTTTTAAATGAAGAGTGGTAGGGAGAGCGAGATACAGAAATCTTCCCAGTGGAGCCCTAGTCACTGCACTAAATGGTTACCCTTTTTAATCCATGAATTACATGTCTTTAATAACCATATGAGGCATTTTATTTCCTGCTTTTTATAAAAATTGTAATGACCACTCAACAGCTCTCTGAGTTTCAATGGACTATCCTTGGTTCTCAAGGCCAATAGCTACACTCGCCTCCATTCTAACAGATACGCTTCTTCAGCTATTATCTATCCACACGGGCTAATATCTCAGGCATATTAGTCAGGGTGGGCATGGTGATGCAAAGTTAACCTGTGTAAGTCAGAGTCCTGGCTGATCTGCCTCTGATCCAATATCCCGCTAAAGCATCTGGGAAGGCAGCAGACAGATGATGGCCCAGTTCTTGGGGTCCCTGCCTCCCACAGGGGAAACCTGAGTGGAATTCTTGGCTTTCAGTTTCTGCCTTAAATGTCAAACCAGACAAAATTAATGAAGATTTTTAAATTATCAAAACCTAATTACCCTACCTTTGGAACTTTACTTAATGCAGAATTCTTTATTAAATCAGGGGAAATAGACAAATTAACCTGAAGCTCAAGAATAAAATATGTGGGTATGTATGTGTAGAATTGTGTGTGCATGTACCTTTTCAAATGTTTAAGATTTTTAACTTTGGCAAACTATACATGTGCTATTATCTTATACACTTATACATGTAGAATTCAGCAGCATAAAATCTATATTTATGCTGTATTCCCATCACCACTACCCAGAACTTATCATCCCCAAACTCTGTATCCACTAAACACGGACTCTCCATTCTCTTTTCTACACACACCTTGGTTACTTCTAGTCTGTTTTCTATGTTATCTGAATAACACAAAGAGACATATCCATACACCTACATGTAGACACAGATAGAATGAATGAATTTTTTCTGGAAGGCTCAAGCTCAAAATTCCTAGGCATAATGATTCGAAAGAAAGATATCCCTTACTCCTTGGCAAATCTTGGGGAATGTATCCCACAAAGTCACTGCTTAGCAATGTAATCAAGGGATCACATGAACTGTCCTTTGAAATTTTCCATAGGTTGATTCTTTGACTAAGAGCCAAATTCCATCCTGGCTATCGGCCCACAGAAAGCTTAAGGCAGTTCTAAAGGACCCAGAGAGTCAGAAATGATGATCTAGGAAAAAAGAAAGCTCCGAGGCAGATGGAAATACTCCTTTGGGAGGGAAACAAGGTCTTCTTGGGTCAAATGCTTTCATTTTAGTCTATGATCCCAAGACAATGTAGATAAGAATACAGGGCAGCCACAGCCTGAAGCCCTCGAGCAAATCTTCCTTCTCCCCAACCACATTTTGGCAAAATGAGCGTGTGACCTCATAGGGCCTGTATTTAAACTGCTTGCAAACATACACCGACTACATTGAATCCAACCACCCTTCTCCACAGAGAAAATGGCTGGAGCCTCTGACCAAAACCTACAGTGGAGTTGGATGTTAAATATCAAAGGGCTTAATTAACAAAGTAGCCCAGGTCAAGATGATCTCAGTTGGATTCAAGAGTGCCAAAAATTTTACAGATGTCACACAGGGGCAAGTATCGTCAAACTGTCCAAAGTCAGACATAAAGTTTCTGAAATATGCATGACAGAAAATCTTCAACACTTAGAGCAGATGTTACATCAGAAACTTTATACGCTAAAAAAAGCAACACAAGGTCCAAGTTCTAGAAGAAAAAAAAAAACTGTCCACCTAGATAACTGTATCTTATAAAACTCTCCTATCAAGCTACACAAAACATCAAACATCTTGGAATAAATCTATCCCAGGATGTGAAAGATCTTTACAACGAAAATTATAAGACATTAAAGAAAAACATAAAATAAGACACAAAAACAGAAGAATTGTTCAGTTTAGTGGGTTGGGAGAACTGATATCATCACAGTGTCCATACTATCCAAAGCAATTTACAAATTCAGTGATATCTCAAGCCAAAGAGCAAGGACGCTAGACCTGGAAAAAATGATGCTAAAATAGGCAAAGTGATCTTTAAAACGAGAAACAAAGCCAGAGGCATCACAATCCCAGGCTACAGGGCAGTCATAATCAAAACAGCCTGTAACTGGCACAGAAATAGACATGTAGACCACTGGTACAGAATACAAAACCCCAAAATCAACCCACATATCTACAACCAACTAATTTTTGACAAATAAACTAAAATCGGTCCCTGGTGAGAGGACAGTCTCTTCAAAAATGGTTCTAGGAAAATGAGATGTTCACATATAGAAGAAGGAAACGCTGACAAGGATCAGGCGAAAGGAACTCTAATACATGATTGGTGAGAATGTAGCCCAGCACACGCATTCTGGAAGGAAGTCTGACTATTCCACAGGAAACTGAAAACAGATCTACCATGTAACCCAGCCATCCCACTCCGAGAAACCGACCCGAACCAGAGGCAATCAGCACATGTCACAGACATCTGTATTCCCATGTTTACAGCAGTTTACAGCCAAGGTATGGAAGCAACCCAGATGTCCACCCACTGATGACTGGATAAAGAAAATGTTGTATACTACAATTTAGAATATGACTCAGCCATTAAAAAAGAATGAAAAGTTGTGTTTTGCAATAACATGGAATCAAGAGGAAACTATTATTCTTAGTGAAATGAGCCAGTCCCAAAAAGAAATTACCATATATTTTCCCTGTGGTACCTAAAATACAGATTACAAAAAATGTACTATTTATGAGCAAAACTGACATTTTGAAATTTGATTATATTTTTGGTAAAGTTGAGGATGAGTGGCCTTTATTTTCTATTTGCTATTTGCTGAATTCTTTATCTAATGGAGTGTTAAGCCTATGATTCATGAAGCCAGCTGAAATGACATCATCGTAAAAGAACTGTTTAAAAAAAGAAAGCAGGAAGGCTGTGGGTCACTGGCACGCAGACCAGGTGAGCAGAGCAGGAAGTATCAATGCGCTCCTAAGTCTGCACTGTGAAAACACATGAAATGTGTTCACCGTATTTTATAGAAAACAGGATAATTTAGTATTGAAAAAGACCTTCCACTGGGGCTGGCCTGCCGCGTCAGTAGCCCACATGGGCACTGGTTTAAGTCATGGGTGCTGCAGGTTATGGCCTGGGACTGCAGCACGAGTGTTTAGGCTCGTGCACCACCCGGAAGAAGCTGCTGCCATCGGAGCAGCTCAGCTGCAGCCACTGTGGCCACTGGGGAGTGCACCAGCACGTGGAACATCTCTGCCTCTCTCCCTCTCTCTATCTGTAACTATGCCTTTTAAACATATAAACAAACTAATCTCTGAAAAAAAAATCCCCAAAATACCCGCAGCAGGAAATTAATACTGCAGCTCACCTTGGGCTCCAAAACACAAATCATACACTGTAGGTTAATCATCCCAATTTCGTTCTGAAACCACTGTGTACAGACCTCCGCATTCCCTACATTTATACAAGTAATTTGTGTTAATTAAAAATAACTGAACAACAGAGGAGAACAAAGTACACCATCAGCTGTCTAGTGTCTTTGAAGAAAAATCCGGACTTACATGGTGATCTTCAATGTTCTTCAATAGTCGGGGATCATTAAAATCACAGGAGTCACTAGGGTGTGGTGGCATATGACTAGAAAAAAAGAGAATTAAAAATATCTAATCAGTTCAGAAATTTCCATCTTAAGACCTGGTAGTGATCTGCTTCAGGAAGAACCCTACCTGGAAAGCCCACTGAGATCTACTAAACTCATTTTTCAATTTTTTATTTATCTGAAATAGCAAGTGAGACAGAATAGGACCTCACCTGCTGCTTCACTCTCCGAACGCCCACAATGACCAGGACATGTGTCTGGTCTAGCCGTTAGGACACCTGCATGCTACTTCAGAGTGCCCTGGGCAAAGGAATGGGGTTCCTCCCACCCACACAGGAGGCCTGCATTGAGCTGCGAGGTCCTGCCCTTGATGCCAGCTATCATGGGCTTTTGGGAAATGAACCAGCAGGTGGGATCGCTCTCACACACCATCTATCTGTCCATCTTCTATCTCTTATCTCCATCTTAAATGTATAAAGAAATGTTTTCAAAATATAACTACAAGAAAAGAAGTTTTACATGCCAGCTGTGTGCTACTACACTGAATCACACGTACTGGGCTAAGTACACTGATCTCTCTCCATTCTCTCCTGAAACACTTTCTTTCAGACAGTAGAAAAAGAAACAACACTGGGGATGCCAACCCGAATCTGAACAGAGATCAGAATACAGCATAGCAGAGAACATGGCAACCAAGAGCTGCAAAGGAGAGCGCCTGACATGCAAGCTGCTACCCTGTGAAGGCTGGGGAAAAGACAGCTTGAGACACTCATGAGCCACAGAATGTAGAAGATGGAAAGCGAAGACTTGAGCAAGACTCGGCCTGCAAGAACCTTCCCGTAGGGGCAGGCATTTGGCTCAGATTGTACTCAGATGCCACTGAGTACACCTACATCCCAAATCAGCAAGAATGTGTGAGTTCTAATCCCAGCTCTGCTTCTGATTCCAGCTTCCTGCTAAGTCAGGGAGACAGCAGGAGATGGCTCAAGTACTTGAGCACCTGCCACACACACGGGATGGAGCTTCAGGCTCCCAGCTTTGGCCTGGCCCACCCCTGGCTGTTGTGAGCACGCAGGGAAAGAATCAGCAGATGGCAACACGCTGTGTGTGTGTGTGTGTGTGTGTGTGTGTGTGTGTGTGTGTGCCCGCGTCCACAACCTACCCTGCTCTGATTTTCAGAGACAGCCCCACCATGCAGTTCTGTTAGGACATAGGTTTCAAAGTAGGAGCAGACGACACTCATTGTAAGAAAACTCCAAACCTGTTAGGATGGTTATTTAAAAAGAAAAAAAAAAAAAAAGGGAACTAAAATCCAAGTGTGATAAGTGCTGGTGAGGAAGCAGTGACGCAGAGAAACGTGAACTTCGTATGTTACTGGTAGGAATACAAAATGAGGCAGTTGCTGTGAGGAATGATTTCATGGTTCCTAGGAATGCTAAGCCTGGAATCGTCATGTTATCCAGCAATTCCACCCCTAGGTGCAGAAGAGAAAGACTTGAGAGAAGGAATTCACACATATTCTTGTACACCAACATTCATAGCAGGAGCTATTCCCAGGAACCAATGGCAAAGGCAACCCAAACGCTCATCAACAGAGAACAGAAATACAGTGTGTTATAGACACACAATCGAACACTGCTCACCCTAAAAAGAAGTTCTGATATCAGCTACAACATGGATAAGCCTTGGCGATATCATGCTAAGTAAAGAAGAGAAAAGCCAGAAAAAAAAAATACTATATGGTTCTGCTAATATTAGGTGCTTATGATAAAAACCACATACAGAGCAAGTTGAATGTTGTTATCAAGTGCTGGAGGTAGTAAGGAAATACTGCTTAAAGACACAAGTTTTCAGAAAAACAAGCTCTGGGAACAAATAGTGGAAATGGTCATGAAGCATTTTATCAGTGTGAGTAAATTATACACTTATAAAATAGTTAAAATGGGACATCAGGAGCAGGCATTTGGCACAGAAGCCAAAAGACCTGTATCCCACATCTAGGTGCCTGGGTTCAAGGCCTGGCTCTGCTTCAAATTCCAGCTTCCTGCTAGCGCATACGCTGGAGGCAGCAGGTGAGAGCGCAAGTACTTGATCCCTGCTAGCCACGTGGCTGATGCCAGATGAGCTCCCAGCTGCCTGGCTTCAGCTTGGGCAGCCCCACTCATCATATGAACGTACGCATTTGGAGGAATGAACCAGTTCATGAAGCATCAGTCCCTCTCTCTCTACCCTTCCCTGCCTCCCTCTCTCTCTCTCCTTCCATCCTTCTCTCCCCCTTTCCAGTTTCCTCTCTCTTTCTGCATATGTATGTCTTCTAAATTTTTTCTGTGCATTTTTAAATAAATAAAAAAATTTAATTGGATGTTCTTTCCAACTTGACCTATAAATTTCACATAATCTCCATAAAAATCCCCTAAGTTATTTGGCAGGACTGACAGACTGGTTCTAGAGTATAGACAGAGAAGCAAAAGACACAGAACAATCAACACAATATTGAAAGAGAGAATAAAGCTGGAGGACTGACACCTTGGAACTTGAAGGCTTACTGTAAAGCTACAGGAATTAAGACAGGGTATAACAGACAGATCAAAAAGAGACCCCAGACATTAAAAGTAAATGTAGTCAGGGAGCAAAAACCATAAATACAGTGCAGCAAAGATAATCTTCTCAACAAATGGAGCTAGGACAACACTTAATGTGCAAAACATGTGGCTCTAGACACAGGGTGCACACCTTGAACAACAACAAAAAAATCACTCAAAATGGATCCAACACACAAATGAGAAACACCAAAACATAAACTCTCTAGGGGGAAACACGAGAGAACGCTGGCATAACCTTGAATACGACAGAGATTGTTAGCTACAGCAAAGTTCCACAAATAAACTGGGCTTTGTTGAAATTTAAAACTTCTATGAAAGACGCTGTCAAGAGCATAAGAAAACAGGACACAAAGTCATAGAAAATAGTTACATAATACAGTCCAATAAAGGACCACTACCCAAAGAAACCCTAAAACTCAACAATGAGAAAATAAAAGAATGGAGCCGTGGTTGTAGTACAGCACGTGAAGCCACCTGTCTACAATCTGGCATTGTTCTGAGCAGCAGATCAAGGCCCAGCCACCTCACTTCCAGTCTAGCCTCCGGCGAATGTATCTGCAAAAGCAGGGCCCAAGCACACAGGCCTCTCCCACCCAGGAGGGAGACACAGATGGGGTTCCAGGTTCGTGGATTCAGTCTAGCCCAGTCCTAGCCTTTGCAAACCACTAGACAGAATCATTCTCTCTCAGGCCCGGCGCCATGACCTAGTGGCTAAAGTCCTCACCTTGAACGCACTGGGATCCCATGTGGGTGCCGGTTCTAATCCCAGCAGCCCTGCTTCCCAACCAGGTCCCTGCTTGTGGCCTGGGAAAACAGTCGAGGATGGCCCAAAGCCTTGGGACCCTGCACTTGCATGGGAGACCTGGAAGAACTCCTGGCTTCGGATTGGTTCAGCACTGGCCGTTGCACTCACGTTGGAGAGTGAATCATTGGACAGAAGGTATTTCTCTCTGTCTCTCCTTTCCCTATATATATCTGACTTTGCAATAAAAATAAATAAATCTTTAAAATAAAATCAATCTCTATTTACCTTCCTTTCTGTAACTGACTTTCAAACATGTATATAAATCTTGTTTTTTTAAAAAAAAAAAGTTACACAGAAAACAAGCAACATAATTGAAAAAACTGAATCAAAACCCCTTAAAAGACTCTCACCAAAGGAGATATGCAGATGTTTAAAAAAATCATATGAGAATATCTTCAGCATCACACGCCATCATGAAAATGTTCATTACAATGAGACGTCACCACACACTATTAGAATGAGCAAAATTCAGAACACCAAATGCCGGTGGGGATGTGGAACAAGACTAGCCATCATTCACTGCTGATGGAAGATCACTTTGGAAGACATTTAGAAGGTTCTTTATAAAACTAAATATAATCGTACCACACAATCCAGCTACCAAGCTCTTTGGTATTTGCCCAAGGAAGATGACAATTCATGTCCATCTCCAAAGCCTACCCATGACGGTCTACAGCACCTTGAATAACACTTGCCTAAACCAAAACTATCGACACATTTTTAGGGCAGGGGATAAGTATTAACACGAGTCTACTAGTGGACAGCACAACACAAGAGTGGACCTGATGAAAACTACCGATTTTGTGTGGTTCTGAGCACATCTCACCCTCTGTAACAAGTGTATCCCTCTGCTTAATAATGGGAGTAATGGGAGAGGAAGCAGAGGAGGGCAAGACAGGATTGATACGGGAATCCTACGCCACATCTTAATTTGACTGTGAAACTAAAACTTCTTTTAAAATTCTCCTATTACATATATATCATACAAAAATAATTTTTTAAAAATATGGGAACACAGTCAACAATTTTATCAGGCCTTCAAACAAAGTCTATAAAGCGAAGTTGAGAAATGAAATCTAGGGATTGGTAAGGAACTGGTGTGTGGGCACAGGGGGACAGAGCAGAGAAGACAGACAAAGCACAGGCAAGCTCAAGAGATATTTTTGAAACTAAGAATGAGAAACTCCACTTGAAGGATTAAAAAAATCGAGCCAAATAAGGTCAGAAAATGAAACTAAAAACGTGCAAAATGGGATAGGAAGTTAACAAAGTGAGGATTCAATCAGGAGGGTGGCGATCTGTCTAACTGGAGGAGCAGAAATTATCAAATAGTATGAGGAGTGCAAAAGGGAACACATTCAGAGAGAAATGGCCCATGAGTCATGCATTGAATCCCCAACACATTGAAGAAAAACAAATCTACACATAAGCTTCTAGTTTAAATTTCAAAGGCTGACGATACATAGAAAAATTTAAGATGAGAAACCTTGTTTTTCCACAGCAGGAATTCCAGCAATTGTAAATTGCTACACATTGTAAATGAGCCTAAGCATATGATTTTTGAAACACTGAAGTAAAAACTAAACTCCTGAAGTCCAAGCTGGCTGCCTCAGGGAAATGACGCATCGGAACCAAGAGCAGGTTATTTTTGTAAAAAGCTTTACAGCGTGGACTTTCAAAGCTGAACTTGTGTTTGAATTTATTCTGGTAATTATTCAGATAACACATAAACCACTTTAGTCTCTCTATAAAAATATTGAGGTGAGAAATGCTAATCTGAGAGTTTTCGTGCTAATGCGTCAAGAAGCGGAAGTGTCTTACCAGAAGTCATCAGAGGACGGCTCCCTCGCCAGCTCCGGGAAATGGCTGTCAGGAAGGGAAAACGGGATGGTCACCAGTCTGTGATCAAAACCCCAGTAAGACAGAGAGATTTACACACACCCTGGAATCGTTCACTAAGTCAGTATGTGCAGGAATGAACACTTCGTTTATAAATTTTCATTTGGGCTCTATTACGGTTTATGCACGCTCAGCAGTAACTCTGTAACTCCTTTGGAAGTGCTGAAACTCAAGATATCTGACTAGTTAAAAATGGCCTTGCTTTACTAGAAGCATACAAGTGGAATGTTCAGCAAATACACACACGTACCCATAGGTCACTCCAGCAATGCTGCACTTCTTGAAGTTCATGATATTGCATGTAAGAGTCCCAGTCTTGTCAGAAAACAGGTATTTTACCTAAATCAGGAAGTCAAATAAGTACACATGAAGAACGTAGTAAGAAGCAAGACTAACACCTGAAGTCTCTCCTTGTATAGTTGTTCAAAATTTGCATAAAACTTATAAACAGATTGCCTTAAAACAAGCAAATCCATAACAAATCTATGTGTATATACCTTGAGGCTTAGATCATTCACTAACCTATATTCGTTACTAATTCTGACTCAAATCGCACAGAAACAGGCCAAAGAATCTTCAGCCATGGCCTTTGCGTCCTATAAGTTGAAACAGCTCAGTGCTGCACAACATTACTCAGGAGGCATGACCTCATACAATATGTTGCTCTTTTTGACACTTGGTCTCCAGTGCAGGCATTCAGCCTAGAGGTTATGGCACCATTGTCCCACACTGGAGCATCTGGGTTCAGTTCCAAGTCACAGCCCCTGACTCCAGATTCCTACTATTGCAGATGGTGGGAGAAGACTCAGGGGATGGTTCAACTGACTGGATTCCTGCCACCCAGCTGGGAGACCTTGACTGAGTCTGTAGCTCCTCCTATGGGGCTGGCTCAGCCTCGGGGTGTGAACCAGCAGGTCAGGGCTAGCTCTCTCTCAAAGAGAGGTGGATTTTTAAGAAAAGACTTCACTCCCATCAGAATAAGAAAGCATATCCTGAAAGAAAACAGAACAAACTCAAAGCTTCTCAACCACTAGTTAAGATGCAAACAAAGACAACATGAGCCTGTGTACAGCAGATTGAACCATAATCTATTACATCACTTTCCAAGATGCAAAGCTTCACAAATCTGACACAAAAATCTCTCAATATCCAAAGATGAAAAGAGAAATTACTGAGTAGTTTAACAAGCAAGCCATCGTGACAAGACTGAATACAAAGCAGACATACTCCAAATATGATGCCAAGTATATGATCTGAGGCTGATGATGTAAAGTGGAAGAGGCTAGGAACTCAAGACCACAATATGGCAGAGAATCCGGTACAGGCAGGCCGTGTCGCAGCCCAGTCACGTATCCCCGGAAAGTCGCCCTGTCCTTCTGAGCTCTGCCTTTGCCTCTACGCAATAATAGGTTCAGCCAGAACATCATGCCACCTGAGCATTCTGGGAATTTGCATCCTGGACAAGGACCTTTGTTTTTCAGTGTTTTTCCACTGAGACTGCTGCCAGATGCGAATAGCATCCTGAGAACCCAGGGAATACATCGGGGGAAGCAGTGTTTCCCGGCTCCTGAGCAGAGGAATTAACAACACAAACTGCTTACTCTGCATTTTGTCTTAATTAAGCAGTATAAACATATGCACAAAGAATACTTTCAAAGCAATCAAAGGACCTGCAGGTAAAGAAAGATTAAAGCTTCTAAAGAAATCAAACATTACATCAAACTATAAGATCGGTGCCCTGGGGGTACAGTTAGTGCTTATACATGCTGACAACTACCCAACAGAATACCCATCTTGAATACACAATGATTTCTTCTTTAAGAAAAGCCTATCAAACTGTTTCGCAGAGAATTTTACAATAAGGAATGATCAAGATTGACTTGGCATCACTATATCTACTGAATTTTTACTCTCTAGAAACGCTGCAATGTAGAACTTCCTCCTCACACGTACTTTTCCCCTCTCCCCAGCCAGGATGGACTGCTTCACGTGAGTATGCATCCTGAGACCTTGGGACCCTTCCATCATTCAGGTCCAGCTCAATGGCGCCGGAGAACACGACACTGAATATACCGAGCATTACGGGAAACTGACAAAAACAACCAAAGATTGCACTCATTGATCATGGTACCAGAGGGCACTGGTTCCAGGACCCGTGCCACCCCATACATACAAAATCCATGTGTATGCAGGCTCTTCATAGAAGATAGTATAGTTCTGCACAGAACTACAACATATTGCTATATCTCATATTTTAAGTCATCTCTGGATTACTTATTATGCCTAATATAATGTAAACACTACATAAATATTTGTGAGAGGATACTGCTTTGGGATTAATGACATCAAAAAAGACCTTAGCACGTTCAGTATGGACATAAGCATCATCGGTTTAACCACACTTAGTCAGGCTGTGGTTGGTTGAAGCCAGAGACATGGAGTCCACACCCATGGGTAGCGGGCTGCATACAGCACAGCAGTACATACCCCCAACGCTCAAAAGTCTCCAGAGAGAAACAACTAACAATTACACAACTAGTCACATCTATCTGAGTGTCTTCAAAAAGTCATGGAAAATTACTACGAAAAAACCATTGATGGGCTTCAAGACTTTCTGCACCACATTGTTCTCCTAATCCCATTTTCCATCATTTTTCTCGAGTGCCCTCTATCATGTCAGAGAGATGCTATAGGAATACAGAAGGCAGACAAAGGAGTTTTGCCTAGAAACCTGGACAAGGATTCAAAGAAGATGCACACTTAGTCGATATGTACCCAGAATTCAGTGATTCATAAAAGTGTACAATTCTACCAGGCAGACAAGGGAAGTGACAGTGCCATTCTAGAAGGGGAGAATATGATGCAGAGAATGGGGGGTTAAGGGCCAAGTCACTCTGGGGACAGTCCCTGGTCCCGTGTGACTGCACCAGAGGCTGGCAGTGGAGGCCTTCAGTGTGAGTCTCCCTGGGAGGACTTGTCTCCAAGCCAAGGGTGATCCCTACTGACCATCTCTCTGCTGTGTGAGGAACAGAACATAGAAGTGGGCCCTGGGCCTGGTAATGAACACATTCCAAATCAGAACCCTTGGACTCAGTCCTTGTCTCTGCTCCCGATTCTAGCACCCTGCTAACCCACTCTGGGAGGTAGCAGTGAGTACTGAGACCCTGTCACCTACATGGGAGTACTCCATTGTGTTCCCAGCTGTTGGTTGCAGTTCTAGCCCAGCCCTGGACACTGCAGGATTTTGGAGCTGTCTCTCTAATCAGTTTTTGTTGTTGTTCTTCTTTGTTTTTAAAATGTAAAGGAGGGGCTGGAGCTGTGATACAGTAGGTTAAACCTCCATGTGCAGCACTAGCACCCCCTGTGGGCACTGGTTCATGTCCCCAGTACTCTACTTGTACTCCAGCTCCCTGCTAAAGAGGAAGATGGCCCAAGTCGTTGGGCCTCTGCTTCCCCAAGGGACATCTCAAAGAAGCTTCTGGTCCCTTCTTCACCCTGATCTAGCCCTGGCTGTTGCCACAATTTGGGCAACGAACCAACAGATGGAAAAGAGCTCTCTCTCTCTCTGTAGCTGTTTTTCAAATAAATAAATGCTTTTAAAAAGAGGTGTAAAGGAAAAAAAATTTAAAGTGCATATGTGAGCCTGCGTAATGAAAGAAAAGCTAAAGACAAAAACGTTGCTGAGTAGATTTTGAAATTACAATGGAACAGAACCAATACCATTTTTATCTATGAATTTGTATTTGCTTAAAAATTTATGCACAAACTTGAGCCGCATCTTTCTGCAAAGCATTAAAGAATTTACTTTGTTAGAGAAAGAGGAAGGAATGAAGGAATGGAGGAATGAAGGAAGGAAAAGAAAAAAAAAATAAAAGAGAGAAAAGAAAACACTTCCATCCAAGATGTTTTCTAGCCCTCAGGTAAATGAGACATCTCTCCAGCACCTGGCCAGAGGAGCTGAGCATGGGAGGTGGTACCAAGCACTCCCTGCACCAGGCAACTAAGCGTGAGAAGGCTAGAACTGGACGATCTGAAGTCTCCTTTCTTCCATTCACTAGTGAGCTGTGCATGTCCGCACCTGTAAAATGATGATGCCAGCATCGTGGTGTAGTTAGCTAGTCCTCCACCTGCAACACCAACATCCAATAGGGACGCTGGTTCTAGTCCCAGCAGCTCCACTTCCCATCCAGCTCCCTGCTTGTGGCATGAGAAGGCAGTCGAGGACAGCCCAAAGCCTTGGGACCCCGCACCCATGTGGGAGACTCGGAGGAAGCTCCTGGTTCCTAGCTTCAGAGCAGCGCAGCTCTGGCCACTGTGGCCATTTTGGGAGTAAACCAGTGGATCAAAAATCTCTCTAACTGTCCTTCTCTCTGTAAACACTGTCTTTCAAATAATTAAAGTAAAACAACGAAAAAAATCAGTCACCTTAGGGTTGCTGAAATGTTTAACAGAATGTACAAATGACGGTCTGGGTTGTGACACAGTAGGTCAGTCCCCTTCCTGCAGTGTTGAAAGCCTATGTAAACGTTAGTTGAAGTCCCGGTTGCTCCACTTCCAATCTAACTCCCTACTAATGCGCTTGGGAAAGCAATGGAAGATGGCCCAAGTGCTCGGGGCCCTGTCACCCCTGAACAATACCCAGAGAAGGTTGTGGCTTGCACTTGGCCTAGTACTGGGAGTAGGAGCCACTGGGTCATGAACTAGTGGATGGAAAAGCTCCCTCTTTCTCTGTCTCTCTCTGCCTTCCCTCTCTCTGATTTTCTGAATAAGTAAATAAAAATAAATTTTTAACCAAAAAAAAATCAGAAATTATAATCTTTGATCACCATGCACCCATGCACAAAGACTGTTTCTTATAGCCATTTCAATGTAAGACAGAAACATGGTGCAAAGCATTACTCGCTAAAGTGGAGCTGTGAGGATAAAGTTGGAAAGACACTGCCTCCTGGAATAGTCCAGAAACAAAACCTGGAGCACGTGAGGGACACTTGGATTTCAGATTAGCCCTCACGTACTTTGTGAGGTTACCCAGCACCCACACACCTTAGCCATTGATTTCGCTGTCATTTACTGCTGATAAACACTTATGTAAAGGCTCCCAAATGATGACGTGTTATAGATTTTTTTATAACTGCATTCTGGATGGCAAGCTGATTCCAAATGGAAGTCAAAACCAAATATCATCAGTGCTGGATAATACTGCAGACTCCATACCACATACATGGAGAGTTGGGCTTGCCAAATCCCCCATGATTCTTCTAATAGCATTCAACTGGTCTTGCACATTACCCAAGTTCCCAAGGAGGCTCTCACCTGCCCAAGCTCTTCATTAAGGTTTGATGTCCTGGCCATTGCAGGAGTATCATTTCCTAGATAATACATATCTGTGTCCTGAGACAGAGAGAATGGAAAGATTAGAAAACACATTCTAACAATCCATTCAGATGAATACACAGAGCTTAAGACCTTTTCATTTTCATAATCACTTCGGGGGTAATAATACAGCAGCTATCAAGATCATGACTTGAACTAAGTCATGACCCCAAGCCTGGTGAGTATCCTGCTCACAGGCCTGCTGTGAACATCACACAGAAACACCTTCAGCTGCATCTTCTCTGCAAGCACAGACAGCTAAAGGCCAACAAGAGCCGCAGCAGTTCCATAAACTCCAACTTCTCTTGTACAATCGAACGCAAGTTTAACAGTCACAGCGAATTATAATATATCATGGGCCCCACTCTAACAAGCCAATAAGCAGTTTGTTCAGTACTGACAAGACCTTAAAAGCATCAACAGTGCCAGAACTGTGGTATACCAGGTTAAACTGCAACCTATGATGCCTACTTCCCACATGAACACTGGTTGGAGACACAGCTGCTCCACTTTCAAAGCAGCTTCTTGCTAAAGCACATGGGAAAGCAACAGACGACCCAGATACTTGGGCCCCTGAATCCACGTGGGAGACTAGGAAGAAGTTCCAGGTTCCTGGCTTCATCCTGGCCTATGTGGCCTTTTGGGGAGTGAAGCAGCAAATGGAAGATCTCTCTTTCTTTCTCTGTCCTTCTCTCTAATTCTTTCTCTCAAATACATAAATAAATCTTCTAAAACATCAACAGCAATTACAGATGATAAACACCTACGTAACATGCTACCTCCATTATCTCAATTAGTCTTCATGCCAACCTTTGAATAGGTCCATCATCCTGCCCATTTCTGTAGGACACATTCATGGGTATACTTTCTCAGTTTTCTGTTCGGCATGCTTGACCCAGGACCCAAACATAAATGATCTCAACTGCTTCTTTCCCAGGAACCCACTTCAACAACAGAGACACTGATTAGAAAATAGGGGTCAACAGTTCCACGGGCACTCAGCTTTCAGTCTGTGCTTTAGTGATACTCACCCAGTTTATAAAGAGGGCTTGTGTGTACTTCACAACCTCCAGGGTCACCAGCAGACTGATTGGAATTAGATTGTTGTACAAAATGATGAACGTCAACAGATTGTATCCAAAGTTATCCGAGCTCGTGTCTGCAGAGGAAAACCACAAATGCAGCTTCAGCTTCACTCTTCGTTCAGCCTCCTCCTCTAAATGATGCCCGCCGCAAAATTCACATTAAAAGAGTTAAAAGTTACTGAGCATCGTGTATGTGTGAGTAACTGTGCGTACAACAGCAGACACAGTTCCCGCTAACAAACAGCTGGCTTCGCCATGGACGCCAGGCAAGGGGACATGCTCCCTGCTGTGCCTGCAGCAAGGGACAGCTACTCAAGTGGAGCTCACAGGGCACTGCATGAACCAACGGGAGGGCTGTTTGTTTGAATGGAAAGACCAGGTCACTGGGGATGATCCAGAAATGGAATATGGATGCTGGAGTGCAGTGTTTGCATATTATTGGAATTAAGCCAGTGTTAAGCTGAAGTCGATTCCAATCATTTAAGATGTACACTGTAGTCCCTGCAGCAATGACTTAGCTTAAGAAACAGCTAAAACATAGTCATTTGAGTAAAATAATCCCAAAATGTGTCCATTTCACCTCATCACTTTTGGAAGGCTGGTATTGACTACAGTAAGGAAATACAGGGCAGTACGGCCACCACTCAGCTGTCATGCTCAGAAGGAGTCCCAAGGACAGACAGCTCCGTTGTCTTAGCAACTCACCCATCTTTTTGATGTACCAGTTCTTCCCACCATGGGATCCGTTCCAGTACAGAGCCCCCACAGAGCTCACCAAGGCCATGACCAAGAGGATTCCGAACAACACCAGGATCTGCACGTTCGTCACTTTCTCCACATTCGATCTTTTGAGAGGTGCTTTGGTTGAATTCTGTACAGAAACATGTAGTATCAATAAGGGCCAAGGACAGACTTGGGCACATGAAGTAAGAAAAAAAAGAGGTAAGAAAATCAAATCCAACAACTAAAAAGTGAAAGACTACTTTCACTGTCACTCAATGGCATTTGAAACTGTCCCAGGCTCCTTGTAAATCAAGTTAGCCTTCAGTAATTAAGAAACAAAATACATTCTACACACTTAAACAAAATTCCAGTGATATGTAGTTCACTCAGGATCTAGCTTGCATGTCATCATCTTAGAACCTAGTAAGTCCTAAAAAATTAAGGCGTTTCAAAGAAATCAGAACACTGTTAATTCAAGAAAAAGTCAAAGATTCTACACCATATAAATCTGGGGAGAACAGTACAGCCCTACAATGAATTCACAAGGGGATATTTATAAAGCACATATTTTCCCTCAATTAGCTCAAAAAATCTAAGGGAAAAAAAAAACCGACATACACAAACACATACACGTCAATAATGTCAAATAGAGCATTAATAGGTAACACAAGAAATAGATGGGCAAAAAAAATCGAAGAACCGTGAGCAAGAAATGAGCAGGAAAAGTCAGAAGGGCTTCATGGACAAGGGAGACCAGAATGGTAACGGATCTTAAAAGGCACAATAGATGAAGAAATACGGTCTTCCCACAGACTTCACTCCTGCATTCTCACTGCAGGTAGGGACTGGCTAACGTCCTCGCCTTGCACGTGCAGCCGGGATCCCATAGAGGCTCAAGTTCTAATCCAGGCCACCCCACTTCCCATCCAGCTCCCTGCTTGTGGCCTGGGAAAGCAGTCGAGGACGGCCCAAAGCCTTGCCACCCTGAACCCACGTGGAAGACCCAGGAGAGGCTCTGGGCTCCTGGCTTTGGATTGGCTCAGCTCCAGCTGTTGCAGCCGCTTGGGGAGTGAATCAGTGGACAGAAGATCTTCCTCTCTGCATCTCCTCCTCTCTATATTTCTGACTTTCCAATAAAAATAAAATAAATCTTTAAAAAAACAGAAGAGAAGGCAAGTTCAAAAAGATTCCTCAATGCCTAGACTCAAGAACCACTGCCTTTCAGGTGGACACTTAGCATCAGAACTCAGTAGCGAAGTCATTAGCAATATCTATGTAAAACAATCCCATACCATGTCATTTTATTTCAAATTACATATGTAAAGCGAGAAGTACTGCAATTTCTGATCTTAAAGCATACTTCAAAGCTACAGTAATTGAAAGCAACATATTTCTGGCTACAAATCAAATGAAACTGAGAACTAAGAAATTAATGCACATACATACAGACAATTGAATTTTGACAAAAGTACCAAGAAGATGCAGCAGAAAAAGAAGATAGTGTTTTCAATAAATGGTGTTGGCAGAACTCTGCCTAGTTATGAAGTAAAGCGAAATGAGATCACCATCCTGTGCCCATATATGAAAATCAACTCAATATGGAACAAAAACCTAATTATAAGACTTAAAACTATGAAACTACTAGAAAAAAACATAGAAGAAACATATCAAGGCATTAGTGCAGGCAATGAGTTTCTGGGTAAGACCCCAAAAGCACAGCCAACAGAAACAAAACCAGGGTTTTACGTCAATCCCAGAAGCTTCTGCACAGCAAAAGAAACTAGAGAGTGAAGAGACATCTGAGAGAATTGGAAAAAACATATGCGAGCTACTTATCTGGCAAAAGATTAAACAAAAATACGTGAAGGGTGCTGGCACTGCAGTACAGCAGTGAAGCTGCCACCTGCAACACTGGCATCCTATATAGACATCAGGTGGTGTCCTGGCTGCTATACTTCCAATCCAATACCCTGCTAACGGCCTGGGAAAAGCAGCAGAAGATGCCAAGTGCTTGATCCCATGCTACACACGTGGGAGAACCAAAAATAGCTCCTAGCTCCTGGGTGTTGCAACCACTTGGGAAATGCCTCTCCTTCCCTCCAAAACACTGACTTCCAAATAAATGAATAAATTAACTTTTTAAAAATTAAATACATTAGGAACTCAAAAAACTCAACAATCAAAGAACAACCAATCCAGTAAAGAAATGAGCAGAGGACCTGAATAGACAGTTCTCAGAAGAACGGCAAACAGCCAATAATTCCACATACACAAAACAATCAGCACTACTACCATCAGAGAAAGGCAAGTAAAAACCACAATGAGATTATCACCTCACCCCTGCTAGAAATGAATATTATCAAAAAGGCAGAAAGCAACAAATGCTGGAGTGAATGTGGAGAAAGAGGGACTGTTACACACTGTTGATGCAACCAATTTCTCGGCCATAAATTGGTATAGTCGATATGGATAACAGTAAGATTTTGTTAAAATGTAGAACTGCTATAGGATCCAGCAGCCCTCCTACTGGGTATACTATACTCCCCAAAGACACGAAATCGTCATATCACAAAGGTGCCCGACTCCACCATATTTAATGCAGCTCTGTTCATAATAAAAGACATGGAATCTACCAAGGTGCCCATTGTCAGATGAGTGGACAAATAAAATGTGACTGGGCACATCACTCTCTCTAATGGAATATTACTCATCTATACGTGAAATTAAATCCTGTCATTCCCAAACAACTGGAAGGGACTAGAGAATATCATTTTAAGTGAAATAAGCTTAAAACAAAACAAAAAAAAAAACGAAGTCTGATGGATGAGTAGACAATCAGAGTTAGGCTAAAGAAATACGGACCCAACACTTCCAAGAACAGAGGGAGGAATACAATTCATAACAACCTACGAAAATGATGAACAAATAGAAGACGGAAGCTTCAAAGCTCCAATCACAAGGTAACATCAAAGAAGAGTAAACACTGGGGACTCTGATCTGCTTAGTATCACATAATCTTCATAGTAAAATGGTGCACTGTGACCCATAAAACATATCATTACTGTTAATATTTTTTCAAAGCAAAAAGATGCATATGCCACGTGGGAAAAAAAATGAGGCTAACCATTGTGAAGAAAATAATTCCCCTTTAATGATGTCCGTGTCCTAATCCCTGGACCCTGTGTGCTATTACCTATGTGTGTATGTTTTCATATCACATTTGTGTACATGTATACACATAAATATGTGTGTTATGTGTAACATACTTGTGCATATGTGTTATATGTGATATAGAAAATATGCACATACATATTTCTTTACAAGGTTTATTTTTATTGGGAAAGCAGATTTTACAGAGAGAGGAGAGAGACAGAGAAAGATCTTCTATCCGTTGATTCATTCCCCAAATGGCCACAATGGTCAGAGCTGAGCCAATCTGCAGCCAAGACCCAGGAGCTTCCTGCAGGTCTCCCAAATGGGTGCAGGATCCCAAAAAACTTGAATCATCCTCGGCTCCTTTCCCAGACCATAAACAGAGAGCTGAAGTGGAAGCAGAGCAGCCAGGACACAAAGCAGGGCTCATGTCCACATGACCTCGACACCACAGGCTGAAAACTAGCCTGCAACACCACTGCACTGGCTCTATACATATTTTAAACCAAATAGGGATAGCAGCATTATAATTAGATTAAGGACTTTGAGATGAAGAGATTATTTTAGACTACCCAAGTAGCCCCACTCCAATGACAGGAGTTATCAAAGTAAAGAGGTTTTCTTGTTCGTGATCAAGGAAGAAGTGACCACACAGAAAGACACAGCACTGCTGGCTTTGAAGGTGGAGGGAGCGGGCCTCAAGCCAAGGAGTGCAGGCACCTCCAGGGGCTGGAAGAGGGTGGACTGTCTCCTGCAGCCTGCAGAAAGCACGGCCAGCACCGACCAACTGACCACAAACAGCGTCCTGTACCAAACTGGAGTCAGTCTTCTCGTTCACTATTCTTAAAGGATCGATCACTGAAAGAGCTAGAATGAACGTCTCTGTTAAGAAAGAATGTAAACAAAGTCATAACGTGAAAATAGAATGGAAATGAGATAGATGGCGCCTCACTGGGGTACTTCACAGAGAAGTTCCTACCACAAATAACACTGCTGAAACTAGCGTGTGCCTTCTATCACCAAACCTGAATGACTATTACCACTACGGTTTTCTTCAGGGAAGTGGAAACACTCTACAGCAGTAATTTCAGAAACCTCAGTCTTCTAGGTACCGTTCTAAAGAGCACAGTAGCATTCTTTTCTATTTATATCTGTTCCTTTTTTGTTTTAGTTCTCCAAATTATCCAGATCTTATAGGCCTTAAAAAAAAAAAAACCTCTAGAATCTAATGGGTACAAATCCATAAGAAAGACTACCTTGGCGTGAGTCCAACACCACAGAAAGGCCAATAGTGATGACACACCCATATCTGGCCCAAGAATAAAAGCCAGCAGACAAGTTTCAAGACCATTTATCTTATTCATTTAAAATTCAACAATGATCTGACCATTTTCAAACAACATTCATTGCAAAAAATTGCAAGCTTCATTTCATCAACCCATTAGTTACTAACTTCTGATCTTTTCTAGCAGTTGGATTATGGACGGTTAACAAGGTTACAAACATTTATCTCTCATCCAACAAGACGGAAACAATTCTGGGCCCAGTGCAATGGCTCAATTGACTAATCCTCCTCCCTTCAAGTGTCAGGTTCCCATATGAACGCTGGTTCATGTCCCGGCTATTCCACTTTATTCCAGCTCCCTGCTTGTGGCCCGGGAAAGCAGTCGAGGACAGCCCAAAGCCTTGTGACCCTGCACCTGCATGGGAGACCCGGAAGAGCTCCTGGCTCCTGGCTTCAGATTGGCTCAGCTCCAGCCGTTGTGGCCACTTGGGGAATGAACCATCACACGGAAGATCTTCCTCTCTGCATCTCCTCCTCTATGTGTATCTGTCTTTCCAATAAAAAAATAAATCTTAAAAAAAATACGGAAAACAATTCCAAAACATCCTACATCCATATACACCGTTACTGATAGTCAAGCACTCTCTGTGCATTCCTACCACCTAAATATTCCTACTTGCAGAGACGAGCTTTTAATGCCAAATTTGTCAAAGACTAATAAGCTCCCCCATGAGGGTTCTGCAAAGAGCTTAATTTAATAAATTATACCTTCAACTTTCCACCGAGGTTTTGAAATATCCTGGTGTAAACATGTTAATGTTGCTATTTCCATGTAATGGAGTTGTCAATAGATACAGTCAAGTGTCATATTTAAAAAAAAAAAAAAACACTAAAATCAGACCTAAAACTGACTTATTTGATGCCCTTCTAAGAAAGCAGGCAGCAAGATATGAACTGGAACGCTGAATCCATGGTTTCACTGCTTGGATTTGATTCTCAGCCCTTCGACAAGGGGTTAATGCAGGCACCCAGCACCTCAGTTTCCCAAATGAGAACAACTTAACTTTATATTCCTCAAATGGTCATGGTGAGGGGGAAAAAAAAAGAGTCAATATATGTGAATCACTTAAAACAAGGCACAATTTGGGGTCAGAAATGCTTGTTGTAATTAACACGGTAATCCCTTTGGTAATCCCTTTCCCGTTAACTGAATCAGAACTAGCAGATGGAAACGTTTCTTTGTGTAACTATACTGCGTGTGAAAGGAGGGAGAACGAGGGCCCTGAGGCCATTCAGTTTCCTCTCTGTGGTCCAGGGGTGCAAGTGCAGATGGAAAAGGCTTATTGACAAACAAGGACAGCTTCCAGCTGCACGCACCACGCTGTACTCTGGGAAAGCTCGTCATTTTTACTCGTTTCAGCCCTGCAGGCACAGCCTGTCTAGTACAATTGATTCTGGGGCTTTCCATCATCCATTAGCCCAGAGTAAGCTTTGCTGGGGCAACTGTCCCATCTAAGATCAAGGCATATTCCCTCACTACCTCAGGATGTAAACTGCAACAAGGTTGCAACAAGGTCCATTACCCTACACCTCCTCAGTGAAAAGACAATGTAGCCCCTTTAATGTGTGAGAGGGCTTCAAACGTTTCAGGGGGAAGAGGGTCGCTAACTGCCACTTGAGATGCGCACACCCACAAGGGACAGGGGTTCAAGTCCCAACTACTGCACTTCTGATTCCGCTTCCTGCCAAAGCACTCTGAAAGATAGCAAATGACGATTCAAGTTCTTGGATTTCTGTTGCACATGTGGGACAACCAGATGGTAAGCTGACCTCCTGACTTTGGCCTTGTTGGCCCTGACTGTTGTAGTATTTGGGGGCTGAGATTTCTCTCTCTCTCTCTCTCTCTCACTCTCTCTCTCCCCCTCACTCGCTCTTCACCTCCACCTCTCTTTTTCTCTTTCAAACAGATGAAAATAATATTGGTATCATCAAAAGTTCATGGGGAATATGTACTACAAAAACAAATATGTGCATTCCAAATGTGCTGTGTGTAAGATAAACTTCTTTCAATTCATTCCCATGAACTTTGAGGTGCCCTGATATAACCTAATTAACTATTAAACACAAGTTACAATGCAAAAGTGCTCTGGAAAAACACAGTTTCTATGAAATCTTGGAGGGTGCTTAAATTTGTAATAAGTACAATCTGAACACTTGCCTTGGGACCCTGTGGAAATTTGAGCTGACTGTCCATGATAACTCTGTCACTTCATCCTAAAAAACACAGCAGGCATGGTCTGTGGTCACCAGAGCTCCAAGCATCTGGCCATGCTTCCTGACACTGGACAGCAGAGGTTCAAGGAGTCTCACTGAGCAGCACAAAGCTGTTTGTCAAGATAAAGCCCTTGCATAGAGACTGCTCAGGAACAATAAACTTCAGGCTTTGAAACCCATCCCCGTAAACGGAAGGAGACCTGGCAGGTGGACAAGGCCAGCGCATCTCAATACACACAGGAGCATTCCCTCAGCATTTGCCAGCTACCCCTGCCCCTAACTGTCATGGAGCCCTTTGCCCTGCTCCCCTAATACACAGCCCCTGCAACTGTTCTATTACACCAGGGCTCCCATCCTCCCAGGACTGAAATCACCCATGGTCCTTCCCCTCATTCATGGCCAAGGTCATGCCTTCTCCAAAGCATCCCCAAGCAAGGAGGACCCCTGGAAAGACTCACAGTCCTTGGCATTTGATATACATGTTACAATATACATTCCGGACTTCCTGATACCTCTGAACCTATGTTTGTCTAATGTCATGTCAAAAAATTCACTCCCAAAATTCACGCCATCTGGCATCACATTCCTGTGCTCTCTCATCCCACCCAGTAAGACCTGGCAGTCATCATTCATTGAAGACTTAAATCTGGCTCATGGTGTTCTCTGAACAAGCATATTCACCATCCTTTCTTCGTAAACATTGCAGCACCAACCCACCAAATGCCTTAGTCCCAGTTCCTTATGCCCAATGTTGAATGGTCTTCAGCAGCTCCAACCTCACTTCCTGCCTACGTGGGTCATCGCAGCACCTCACTACACTACACAATCTCCCCCTCAGACTAAGCTGAATATCCCGTACACTGATCATCTGGCCGCTCTACAATGCTACCAGTCCTCTGCAATCCCAAAGCGTCTCTCATCCCTTCCAATCCCATCTCCCTTCCCTGTCTTCACTGAATTAACTAGCTGGGGTGGTCACAGGATCCAACACTTGATCTGCTATAGCATTTAACTCTTTCGTCCTACTAGCTGTTGACTTCAAAAACAGTACTAAGGCAGTGTTTTGTCCTCACCCACTCAGTATCTAAGGCATGCTTTTACTTGGGGCTCATTCTTTACATCAGGTCAAGCTATGGCTGCCTGATCTTCTAAAAACAGAATGGCATTTCATAATAACACACAACACAACTATCTGTCTACTTGGTAAATCTAAATTACTCCTTAGTCTACCCAGCTCCCACAGGGTAAAACGGTACCATTAACTATGCTATCCACGTGGCCAGCCCAAGATTTGGCGCATGGTGGTCACTAGATTGTTTGTACTAAGAAATACAGACAAATCTGTACTCGAGAAGCTGCATAAAAGGGTAGACGAGCTGGAAAAGCCAATTTTCATTCACAGTCACCATTAGCAAAGATGCCTAGTGATCCTAAAGAAAATGGCACATGGGGACACTGTTTCATGTAGAATTTCAAAAAAATATCTACAAAAGGATATCGTAACATAAACATGACCTATAAATTCATGAACATTAGTCTTTTTAAAAAAAACAAACAGGGAAGCAAACTTTATTAACTACTAAGTTAATTAAAACAAACAAACAAAAAAACCTATTGTGCCCAGAGCAATAGCGTAGCAATAAAGGTCCTCGCCTTCAACGCACCCGGGATCCCATATGAGCACCGGTTCTAATCCTGGCAGCCCTGCTTCCCATCCAGCTCCCTGCCTGTGGCCTGGGAATGCAATTGAGGATGACCCAAGACTTTGGGACCCTGTATTCACATGGGAGACCCCAAGGAGTCTCCTGGCTTCAGATTGGCTCAGCTCCAGCTGTTGCGACTGCTTGGGGAGTGAACCATCGGAAGGAAGATCTTCCTCTCTGTTTTTCCTCTCTGTATATCTGCCTTTCCAATAAAAAATAAATATATCTTTTAAAAAAAAAACCTATTAAGTTGGCCTTTGTTAAGTAATGATGAATAAATTCCAGTTCAACAATAACTGATTGATTTTAAATTCTTTAGAATTCAATTAAGTAACACAACTTACTATAACATCCTAATTAATAGAGTGAAGAGGAAAAGTGGAGAGAGAAATTATAAATTTTAAAATAATCCCCTTTTAAGTTTAGAAAATAAAAGCTACAACAGACTGTCCTCCTAAAACTAGAAAACTAGGACTGGCACACGGCATAGCAGACTAAGTTTCTGCCTATGGCTTCAGCATTTCATATGGGCTGCCCTACTTCCCATGCTCCTGGCTCCTGGCTTCAGATTGGCCTGGCTCTGGCCTTTGTGGCTAATTGGGGAGTGAACCAGTGGATAGAAGATTCTCTCTCTCTCTCTTTCTCCCTCTCTCTTTCTCTCTCCATACATATATCCAACTTTCAAATAAATATAAATCTTTCCTTAAAAGCCTAATTTTGAAAAACTAGAAAACAAGGATCACTTCTTTGTATCTCAGGCAAGCAGCAACAGATACCTGAAAAGCTAAGCAAGATCCAGAGGAAACGACCTACCAAACTGAAGTCACTTCCTTTCCAGATTTAGGGGCGCACACAAGCTTGGGCCTCCTTAACACATCTGCGCTTACCATTCTCTACTCAAGAGAAAGGAAGGAAGGATGAAAGAGGGAGAGAGGAGAGAGCAGAAGGAGAGCGAAAGAGACTAAATCAGTGTTGTTTTCTGGCACAGAAATGCTTTACCTGCATCAGCTTGGTGTCGTGTCCAGTGTACACCACTATGCCAAAGACCCACTGAGTATTTCTAAGCTGTGTGCCTCTTAGCAAGATCTGGTCAGGCCCAAGGGAAACGGGGCTAAAAACAAGAAACAACATTTACATTTAATCACAGTCTGACAATGAGCGTGAGATTTCCCCTTCCACAGAAGCCCGCAGTAAACCCAATGTTTGCTTTAGTCAAACTTGAACTATTTCATGGAGAAACTACAGCAATAAAGGTTAACTCTGGCTTATTCTAACCCATAAAATCACTCAGATAAAAGGCCTATTTTATCCAATCATTACGACAGACAATTAAAAAAAAATTAACATTAGAATTTTATCTCATATAGTTGTGTTAAAAAACTTAACATCCAAAGGCAACTGCTAAGATAACCACTAAAGCTCTCTTCATTTGGGAAATTGAGTTTATCCGACAGGTTATTGTAAGAACCAAAATCTATTAAGTTGGCTAGGGAAGACTTCATGATTACATTAAAACCTGAATGATGATTTAGACATAAAAATGGAAAGCCGATGGAATGGATATGTCCGTGACATGAAAAGCCAGAAGCAAGCGCACTCCGCCTTCTTGCTTCTTGTGGGCTGACTCCCAGGATCCAAGGCATGACTCTGCATCAAACACAAAAATGATGCAACAAGTCTGGCGAGCACTGGGAAGAAGCATGCAGACAGAAGGGGGACAGCAGACAGAAGCTGCACCCCAACATCAGGAAACAACAAACACAAAGTGACGCAGGACAACAGAATAAAAAGAGCATGGAATATTCTAGAGCAAGGATAGTTGTTCATTTGACTCTCTGAAAACAAGTGAGTGTTACTTAGAAGAATGCTAGCAAAAAATAAATAAATACATTTCTCTTCTAAGTGGGTTAGCTTTGCTACACCTCAGATCGCTGTCTTCATATTTTGGGGACAAACTTTTTTTTTTTTTGGCCTGAAAGATACAGGCACAGGAGGGACAGACCAGGAGCTGAGAACTTCGTCTGAGACCCGCAGACTCTTCCTTGTGTTAATGCTTGTGTGTGTGTGTGTGTGTGTGTGTGTGAGTTTTCCTTAAAGGGAAGTTTGAAATCAACTGAAATGGTGGCTCAAGAAAAGTTCAGTGTACCATGGTTAAGCTGATATGTTCTAAAATATTTTGACAGTAGAAAAAAAAAAATGAATGTTTCAAAGCCCCAATAACTCTCAGATACATCCAAAAAATCTATACTAAGAACACGGAAAATGGTACCTTTTTCCATCTAAGTTCAGGTTTCCAGTGAAGTCGTAGAGGTGGCGATTGGGTCCTTCACATTCGATGGTTCCAGATAGCTTCATCAACACATCCCTTGACTGCATGTCAGCAGTGTGAGTCAGACCCTGAAAGACCACACCACAAGGGGGCGCTCGACACAAGCGACCGCCTTCAGCACCTCCTGCATCAATAGGAAATGATGACCCACCTCCATGGCAACAATTCGATAAATTACACCTGATGGACTTTAATGAAGCTTGTATCACAAGAAACGAATACAAAAAGTAGCAAAAGATTTCAGTGAAGCAGAAGATGTTACGTGATATTGAACGTATTCAGACACCTTACAGAAAGTATACTCTACTAGCTTTATGACATGAGTCTTAAAATCCAGCATCTCTTGAAAAGTTTACATTACGCAGAACCCCACTTTTCTTCCAGAAAAAAAAAATGTTTTATCCTGAACATTTTAGATATTCACAAAAACTGTACATAAATCTTGCTAACGCTTCTTTAAACAGAAGAGATGTCTAAAGCAAAAAATCTACAGTACAAAAGACAGTGTAGAGAATTACCAAATTTCACTGTGTGCAACATCAGCAAAACGCCTAAGATGTTTATGTACTGAAAACTGCTTCATCTTCAACGCAAAATGGAATATTGAGAGCCTGCACATTCTGTATCTAGTACACCACTCTCCAGTATGAGTTGGGATTTCAACAGCAATAAACCTGAGACACCAGGGCTTGGCTACTCTCTGCCTACCCACCAGTTCAGCCTAGCTCAGTGTGCCCTCCCTTCAAGGCATCCATTGTGACCTGTGCTGTGTGGAATCCCATTTTTCCATGTATCCCACCACTTTAAACACAGTCCCCTCAAACCAAAAGGCATATTCTCCCTGACAAAGTCTGCCGCCCTGTTGTGCCTGATTATTCTCACTGGCATGTGTGGGGATCCTGTGCAGCGCGTGGACCTACGAGACAAGGCAGATGGCAGAAGTCGCCCTACCTGACGTATTTTAAGGTTCGTCTCGCCATCGAGATTCGCTGTTTCAACGTAACACATCGCCTGAGGTTCACTGGGGAGAGAAGGTAGGGAGGTGGGGTGCGGGGGAAGACACATTAACTTAAATCTGCCAAAAATTTCCTGCTGAGATGATCCATAATACAGAAACAACATCTTTCCAAAGAAACTGTTATCAACAGCCATTTCAGTGGTAGTCACGGAGGACAAAGGAAGAACACACTTAACTTTGGGACTCAACGCCACGAGATGGTTGTTTACCTAGTTCATGCACCTTCTCTGGCACCACCTACTGACTTCAAGGTCTCAACAGACATGCTGGGGATGGGTGAGAAGGGGCGGGGCCTGCGGTCTGAGACACTGGATGGGACTGACCCTCAAATCCCAAGCTGGGCCTTGTCCTCCTGCCCAAAAGAGGCAGTCCAGGCCTGGCCAGAACAACCCCTCTTGGGAACACAATCATAGCCTGAATGGAATGATGGAGACATGGCCTTTGCGCCTTTGTAATTAAGGCTTTAAAAAAAAAAAAAAAACATTTAACATTTATTTGAAAGGCAGAAAGTTGGAGATCATCCATCCATCCACGGTTACACATACCCAAATGCCCATCCTAGTTAGGGCTGGGCCAAGCTCAATGTAGGCGTGCCACATGGAGAGGCAGGGAACCAAGAACCCGGGCTACCACCCGTTGTCTCCACAGGTCTGTGCTAGTACAATGCGTGGGTCAAGAGACAGGGTGGGGAATGAAACCCAAGCACCGGAAAACAGGACAGACACGAGAGCAAGCACCTGCTGCTTGCTCCACCTTTAAAAAAAAAAAAAACTATATCAATAGGCAAATTTTAATCAGAACACAAAGAAGAAATTTTTAGTTTTTTTTTTTTAGCTGTTTATTCAGATGACAAAGCAAGACAAAGACATCAAATAGAGACACTCTATCTACTGGTTCCTTGCCCTCAGGTGCCTGCAACCACCAGGGCTGGGCCATGCCCAAGTCAGGAACCAAGAACTCGATTCCAGTCTCACACAGAGGTGGCAGGTTCCCAAGTTACTTGGGCATTCCAAAACAGGATATGACGTCCAAGGCAGCACCTAAGCTGCCGAGACAAATGTCCATCCCAAAGCACCAAATGTTAAGGCCAGAAGATTCCTTGAGAGCCTGTCTGGAGGTGCTAGCAGGGGAGTGCAGCCACTCGTATTCCCTTGAACGAATCAGTCCTCCTCCAATGGGGATGGTTGTCCTGTTCAACTGAGCGCCCGGCTTCAGGAGGGACGCACACGGGGCGGTGAGGGAGGAAGGGGACACCCGCCTAGCCAACCAGATCAGCCGAATCAACCCTGGCAATTAATGGGGTGACAGATGTCGCAGCCAGATCGCCCTCACATCCAGACCAGAATATTCCAAGAACAAAAGCATGAGTTTGTCAGTACTGTTCTAACGACTTCTCTTCTTAGGCACAGTCAGCAGTGAAATGAGTGAACCGTGCAAGCCGCAAGCTAAGATTCTCCAGGGCTAACTTTACAGACTACGTGCCCTTGATGCCCTTTGCCATGGCCTTACGGGCTGACGAGCAGGCGGTTTGATCTCTGCCTCAGTTGTCCCATTTATCAAGGAAGAACAGAGAGGGTTCCCAGGAACCAAATGGGATCATTACAGGCGGTCCGGTACAAAGCAGAGCTTCGGACACAGTAACAAGCATCCTAAAAATGATCTCAGCTCTGGCTACTCCACATTGTATCCAGGGTTCCTGAGAAACAAAGCCAAGATTATTAACCCAAACCACCAATATGTTAATGTTTCTAAGGGTTTCTTTGTTGCCAATCATAAGGGAAAACATACTTTCCATTTCATGTTGGCTGTGTGCTCCCCCTTCCACAGGCTTATCACTTATTTATGTATCTATGTGTAATACAAGTATTTATTTTCAAAAGCGATGGTGTAGTGTATTTTTTTTTAAAGATTAATTACATCAGGGAATGTGCGTCCCTGTCCTTGGGAGGGCTGGATCTCCACCCAGGACCGGATTAAGAGTTGTCTTCATTTGCAGCCTGCTGTTACTCAGGGCACAGGAATGGGAACACTTGGAGCATCAGACTTGAGAGCCAAATGCAGGGTCACTCTACTCTGAAACACACACACACACACACACACACACACACACACACACACACAGACGCTGTTTTCATCTTGAGACAGATGCATAAGAAGTAGGGGAAGAACAGGAAACGGTCCTCTCTCTCCAGCGAGAAGGGTCCACCTGCTAGTTCCCCATCACTGCCTGCTATGCCTGCGTCATCTAGGGAGATGTGGTCATGTACATACGTACACATGGCTAAACTTTCCTTTGTTCTCCTGCTCTAATAAACTCTTTTTTTTTTTTAGTATGTGTCTGTTATGGAATCCTTCATTTTCTGTGAACTGAGCCACAATAAAATGAGTCTCTGCACAGCCTAACACACCATTTGGGGCATGAACCATCAGACGGGAAATCTTCGCTCGCTCACTCCCTCTCCTCTCTCCCCCTCTCACTTTCTTCCTTTCTTCCCTTCTCCCTCCTTCCCTAACACACTCTAACTCCTCTCCTCTCTCCCTCTCTCATTGTTCTCTTTCCCTCTCTCTTTCTGTCACTCTGCCTTTTAAATAAGTATTTTTAAATATATGTTAAATATGTTATCATATATATATGATATGTGTGTGTGTATATATATACATATATAGTACTGATGAATGATATCTTCCTAGCACAAAGCTACTGAGAAGATAGGGCAGTAATACTTGGGGAAAAAACACAGAAAATTAAAAGGCCCACAACAGGACTGTGCCGGGACAATACCAGGGTTCTCTAAGCAGTAATTCAAGAGCAGCACCGGGTGCTGTGCGAGCGGCTGTTGGCTGGACTCAGCTGGAAGCTGAGGCTCACAGCAAAGGGATACTAAGGAAACATCACTCCACTGCTCTAGGGTCAGCGTTCCTGTAAGTGGAGACCACCCCAGGAAGTAGCTAGAACACTAAAATGAGTCAACATATATTAAAACTTCAGAAAACTCCTGCAGGAATGAACGGGACAAAGAAAATGCAGGACCAAGGCATGGGAGGCATGGTTTGGACATCCCTGGTGCAAAAATCCTAAATCCGTAAAATGGGGATTAGAGACTTGCATGCTCTAGTGCAGGGACCGGCCAATGAGGAGAAGGATGTGGCTCACCTGAGAGCAGGGGGGAGGGGAATGGAAGTAGCCCACATTTCTGCAGTTGACATTTAACATTTTACTGTTCTTAACATTTATTTAAAAAAAAAATTTTTTTAAAGCATCCGGTAGCACTTCTGACCTGGAGGAGAGCAGGACCATGTCCGCAGGAAGGTACTGCCCATTGAGGACTTTGACGACGTCACCCACTGCCACCTAGAGGCCAGACGCAAGGCAGGAAGGAAAAGGGTGAGAAGGGCGGTTAGACATGGGAAGGGAAGTACCACATTAACTTAGCCAAGCCCCAACTACTGTCCTGGACGGGAACAGAAGCAACACGCTCCCAGCCAGCTGATGGACGGACACGGTGAGTCTAAGGGTCAAGATGCCAGCACTCCCCGGTGACACAGGCGGGCAGAGCTCTCCCACTGCAGCCGGCACGGCCAATGGGAAAATGAGCACCCGCAGTTTTTTCGGCTTCCTATTCTGATCACGCTGCTTTTCTCTTAGGTTCCAAGAATTCTAAATGATAACGATACTGGTGGCAAAACGACTGGACTGTAGAAGGTAGTGGGGGCCCAGTTTAATTTTTTGTAGAGAAAAGGGAGGCACGCCGAGAGGCACCATTCTAGTGCTTTAAACTGCTTCTCAGGAGATGGGCAGGTGTAAGAAACTGGGTTCAGCACAGAAAACAGCACCCAAAACGAAACTGCAGAACCACTTCCCATGCAAGGTTAGTATCCGACTTAAAGTCATAAATTAACATGAAATTTAAAAAGCAAAAGAGCAAACTATTAGCTTCCATAAAGTTTAAAAAGAAGAAAACCAGATAACTACAGAAGACTTTTAGCATCCCATGCACAAAACCTAGGGGTACTTATGCAAATTGGAAGGGTGTTTTATTTTTTTTTTTTTAAAGATTTATTTTTATTATTTTTTCATTGGAAAGGCAGATATACAGAGAGGAGAGACAGAGAGGAAGATCTTCCATCCGATGATTCACTCCCCAAGTGAGCGCAACGGGCCGATACTATGCCGATCCGAAGCCAGGAGCCTCTTCCGGGTCTCCCACGTGGGTGCAGGTTCCCAAAGCTTTGGGCTGTCCTCGACTGCTTTCCCAGGCCACAGGCAGGGAGCTGGAAGGGAAGCGGGGCTGCCGGGATTAGAACCGGCGCCCATATGGGATCCCGGGCGTGCAAGGCGAGGACCTTTAACCACTTGCGCCACCGCGCCGGGCCCGGAAGGGTGTTTTAAAAGTGAAAATATTTTATATGAATGGTTTAGTCATCCAGAAAAAAATCAGAAGCGATTAGATTTAAATCACAGAAACAAAAGAATTAGTCATATTTTCTAAATGAAAAAAAAAACATTTTTTTAATGCAAAGTGTGAAGAAAAATTACGGCTTTCTCTTCCTTAAATTTTCTAAATAAAGAATAAAGACACGGGGTTCAGGTGTCTTAATTTTGCAGAAGTGCAAAGATCTAGTAAAGCCACTGAGATGTGCCAGACAGCCGGGCCTTGCGGCTTACCCACTGCTCTGTGACAGCGTCTGTTAGTGCTTCGGGAACCCAAAGCGCAGCCAATCCCCCTGGCCTGGCATCTCCGGCGCCTAGTACCGCTGCCCTCTTCCATAATCCCTTCCTCTCTCTGTTGTGCTACACAGCCGTGCCAGGCTCCCCAGACACCTCCCAGACTGGCACCTAGGGCCTGAACGAGTCTGCTGAGTCACCTTTCCTGCCCTGACTCAGCAGGTCCCGCTGCTCCTGCCAGCTGCCCCAGAGCACCTGAGGGACACTTGGCAAGGAGGTAGGCTCCCACCGAGCCTAGCTCCAATCCCTTCAGCCCCACCTGTGGTTCTCCAGTGTGTTCCCTGGATCAAGAGCATCCACCTCGCCTGAGAACTAGCTAAATATGCAAATTCTGGTGTTGCAGTTAACAGACATCTTGAAGGTAGCAGCCCTCTAGATGGCTGCGACACCTGCTGAAAGTACAGACCCACTGTACCGCAAGACTGCCCAAGGTCCTGTTCTTACCGTGCAGTCTCTGGCACATGCAAGGAGCTCTACTGAAACTACCAAAACGCATTCGGAATTGAATTAAAAATGTAGGTGGCATGTAACTGGTGTTACCACCTTCCCCATGTGTGTCAGGGATACAGTAAAGGACTTCAGGAGCTGTTCGAGCCATCAACTTCTTCATTCCACCCACTACAGGAGCCTTTATGGGGTTGGGAAGAACCCTAGGGAAACAGAAGAGCAACTCCCAGTGCTGTGAAAACCCTTGGATTCCTACAGCCTGCGGAGCACTGGCCCTGTGGGATCAAGAACGCCCAGCCATCAACTGACAACTCCCCAGCTTCACTTCCAAGGGAGAGAGAGGACAACGAATGCCACACAAGACTCCTGGATGGAGCCCGGCGCCCTGGCCTAGCAGCTAAAGTCCTCGTCCTGAACGCGCCCGGGATCCCACATGTGCACCAATTCTAATCCCAGTGGCCCCACTTCCCATCCAGCTCCCTGCTTGTGGCCTGGGAAAGCAGTCAAGGATGGCCCAAAGCCTTGGGACCCTGCACTGTGTGAGAGACCCAGAAGAGGCTCCTGGCTCCTGGCTTTGGATTGGCTCAGCTCCAGCTGGTGCAGCCACTTGGAGGAGTGAATCATTGGACGTAAGATCTTCCTCTCGGTCTCTCCTCTTCTATGTATATCTGACTTTCCAATAAAAATAAATAAATCTTAAAAAAAAAAAAAAAGACTTCTGGATGGCTGCGAAGAACCAAGAGTGGTGGTTCTCCCACACAAACAAAGCAAAATAAAGCAAAAATTAGGTGATACCATAGGTGTCGTAAAATGGGCACTTTCTTTAAAGTTGAGAAGGGGCATTTCAAAAACAATGTTTAATAAACATTTAGCATTTTGAAAAAAAACTATTTTAAGTTACTCTTCCAAAAAGTTGTTTTCTTCTGATACTGGGTCCAACAGCTTTAGACGCTGGACTATGGAGGGTCACCCCACACCACCCCACACCACCCCCAAGCCCTAAAGAAGGCCCAGCTGGGACAGACTCTCTTCAGAGGCTCATCTGATCACAGAGACAAAATCTTCTGCTACCACAGTCAATTTCCTCTCAGTGTTCCATTCTTCCCTCGAAACAACCAAGGACATTTCAAATGTCATACTGCATCAACGTGCACAGTTTGCAAAGTTGTCCTCAATACTGTCATCAGAAGCAGCCACTGCTGGTCGCATGGCACTAGCGCTGCACGGGAGCAAATGGGCTGCTTCCTGCTCTGTCACTCACGGTTCATGCTCCTCAGCTCCTTAAGGGCATCCCAAGTAAGAATATCAAAAGTTAAAAAAAAAAAAACTTCAAGAATTTGGATTTAGATTTACATAGTAATACAGGACTGGCAAAAAATTAAAAAATCAATAAATAAAAATAAGTTCCTCCATATGGATTTAGATATTAGAAAATGTTTTTGAGAACTCAGAAACATCTTCCGGGAATGAAGGTATTCCCAGCTTGACCCATGGGGTCCCATTCCAGAAAGCAGGGACAGAGGACACGAGCCCCACATCCAAGGCAATTTCAGGGGGAAGCTCCATCAGATCAGGCTTGCGTGGTTCACAGGGGCCTGTGTCTCCGCACACCCTCCACTGCAGTCCATGCTAGCAATTCCTTACGACAGTGCCCGAGCCCAAACTTTCTGGTATAACTTGAAAATTGGTGTTTACCTCCTTCCACACAATGGTATGCCACATACCATTTCTTAATACTGAAAAAGAGAGAAAAACAACATAGTAGTTAACATGGGTGATAACCAATGTAAGATCATCTCTCAAGACTTCAATGGCTCCTTTACAATTCCCTGATTCACTCTAACATACGACATCCTTAGGCAGACAGGTGTTACACCTTCCCGCATGAAACGGAGCCCCAAGCCCCCACACACACCCATGTTTATTCTTCACATAGAGCAGAACTACTTTCAGCCCAAAAGCAAAAACAGCCTGCTGCTGCACAGCTTTTAAAAAATAAAACACAGAGCTGTTATCATAGCAATCAAGATTGTTTAAAAGGCAGGAAGAGGGAGGTAGAGAGAGATTACAAACGAAGGCTATGAACGCTTAGACTCTGTGTAGACACAAAAGCTCTAGCTTCTGAAAACACATTTTCTAAAATCCTAAAACACACAAATCCTGCTCAAATCTAATTATAAGATCAATATTTTCTTTGGTTTGTTATCTTACTACTCTTGTAAGCAATTATATAAATAATTTTTCGAATTTGCCTCAATGGCAATTACTACTTAAAATTTCTTTCACCTCCAGTTCTTATAATTTAAGTTTTTATAATGGAAAAAGTAATCCAGCATGGCATCTTACCTATTGTTTTCTTTTTGTTGACAGCATTGTCCGCCTTATGTCGCTTCTGTTACAGAAACAAAGAGAGAGTTCTCATATTCACAAGTCCCAGATGAATAATTGAAATAGCAAACAATAAGACCGGGGAGCGGGGGGCGGGGGGCGGAACAGGGGGCATGTTATACAACATGGATGACTGGTTTTGTAATCCAGTGCCTGGGGCTAAACTCCCAATATCTCAGTTTAAAGGATTACACTTATTACTGATAACAATGAACAAGTGTATGAAAGTTCTCACTCCTCCTTCGTTTAAGGGCAAATTAAAAATTATCCAGGATGATTACCCAATAACAAATCAACTGTTTTACTAACAAAGTCGCTTTGCTTTGACTTGCATAGTGTTCATTTGTCTACCTACTCCCAGGAAGACACATGTTTGTAGATGGGGAGACAGAGGGAAGAAGGGAGAGAAAGAACAGGAACGTGGTTGTTAGGCTGAACTTAAACTGAACCTGCAGATACACTTGGGCAAGAGAGTCCTCAGGAACAGCAGGTGCACTGCTGCTAGCCCAAACAGCATGCTGCCTAACTGGTGACCCAGATCAGCACCCTCTAACATAAGCTATGCAACCAAAATCAAAGCAGGCTGTGAGACCTCACGTTTGCAAACTCTGAATGTTTCAGTGTTACTGTGTAAGCGGTTAAGATATTTTGTATGCGTATTCCCTCCCAAAAGCAGAAGTCTGGCATGAGCTCCAGCCCAAGTTTCCACCTTAAACCTTCCGCCCAAAGCACAGTATAGACCCTGTATCTCATAGAATAATCAAAAAGCAACACTTACAAAATCTTCTATGATCTCTTTGATGCCTGCAATTGTTAAAATAATGATCAATGGCACCAGAGTGGTATATCGTCCTGTCGGAGAGACGTCTGGAATTTGCTGCAAGGCAGAGGACACAGAGGGTAATGAGCAAGCGGAGCCTTCTCCAAAACAAAGACCCGCAGCACTCGCAGCCCACTCTTTCACATACGCTCCATTTCTGAGACGTAAAAATGATTATCCTATTTTAAAAACTAGTTTTGTACTCTACACATTTTTAACCTTTTGTTCAATATTGGCTGTGTGTCTGGAACAGAGGAAGAGGTCAAAGCTGACAGGAGGGTCGTTTTTCAACATCTGTTTTAGTAGATGCAATTAGCCTTAAAGCTGTACGAAGAGGTCTCTATACAAACATCCCATTTGCTCACGATCAAACAATAAGGAAAAGCTAATAAAACAAGAAGAAAACTAAACTGAAGTGTTTTAACTGTAACACTTTTCCAGGTAGCCAACAGCTTTGACAAAACCTGACTTTGCCTGCAATTGATGATGTGAATCCTGAGTAACTTACAAGGCATTACCTGTAATAAGGCAATGAAGAGGAAGAAGGCATTAGCAGCTCTTCTAATCTGCTCGTACAAGAATCGAGGTAGAAAGGTCAACACGCTATACTTGGCTGTACTGGAAGCACAAAGAAAAACGGCACGGTCAAGTACAGATGCAAGGGTTCCAACACTCAAAGGGTCCAACACTCAAAGGGTCCAACACTCAGCATTGTGAAAACAAAATGTTTCAAAGCTCAGGACAACAACTTATATTTTGTAAAAGACTCAGGTGACAAGAACACCTCCAGGGTGATTTTGTTTTCAAACTCTGCATACAATTGAGGCTTGGCAGTGTCTGCGGGGACCCACGTTCCAGAAGCTGTGTGCAGCGACCCACAGGCAGGGGCAACGGTGCACATCATTGCCACAGAGGTTTTATGTTGCAGTCATAATGAAGAAATTCCATTCCTTCTACGCTCTGTCTGACCACGTTCACACACACGCACTCTCCTCTCCTTTTCACCTGTCTTCCCCATTATCAGCCTTTCTTTCTTACCCTCCCCTACCTGCATCGTTTAAAACACCTTTGCCTCCGTCAAGCTCACAGGGCGGTGTTTATGCCTGCTTTGCTTTGTGTCCTATGTGTCTACAATCAGCTGCATTTTAAAAATGCCATCTGTACTGACTAGGTATGATTTTTTTCCTTACAATTATCCCTGAAGAATACAACTCTATACCTAGAATCTATATTTCATTAGGTGGTCTTATATTTGAGAGATGATTTGAAGTTTACTGGAGGATACACACGGGTTACCTGCAAATACTACATCACGCATAGTGATGTGAACATGCTCAGATTCTGGTATTCATAGAAGGTTCTGAAACAAATCCCCCACCAATACCAAGGCACAACTGCCTCTGTTTCCCCAGTCCCCAAATACATTTTGGAATGAGTGAGATCAAGCAGGTTCACTGCAACTCCCACTTTCCCAGTGCAAAGCACCTGGCACATAGTCAAAGAATAGCAGAACAACCTTGGAGCATAAACTGACGGACTAAGGGATGAAATGAACCAAAGCTCCTCAGGCTACTGCCAGGTTTATTCAAATTCACACCAGAAAAACATGCCTCTGGTCTCTCTCTCTCTCTCTCTCTCTCTCTCTCTAAGTGCTTCAGGCCCTCTACTTCAATGAGATGCATTCTACAATGATTATCTAGCAGGTTCCAAATGTACAATACACGAGCAGCACCAAACAGGAGGCCAAAGGGCTCGGGCGATGGACCACGTCAGGGGCATGCGTACGGATGCCAGATCTGATCGCACGCAATCCCGAAATGACAAAATCAAACCGAAGCTGACACCTCAGAAAAGACAGCAGCCAGAAGTCATCAGGCAGAGCAAGAAGCAGCCTGGGACAGCATCTACGCCACTGCTTCAGGGAAAATCACCCTCGTGGCACAACAGAAATCATAATCTGCCTGAGACACACACACTTGGAGCTTTCTTCTGTCTGAAGCACTAAAGATGTTTGACACATTAAAACCGCCTTTAAAACAGTTCCTGTTACATCAGCTGACACTTGGAAAGAAAATCACTGAATTAGCTAGAAAGGTGCTTTTCTGGAATCTCTCCTCATTTATGTAATCCTGTGGGGAAACAGCATGTCACTATAAAACTCTGATAGACTAAATTAGTTGATGTCAGGCTCTTTCAAGAGTATGACAAATATATCAGACTCGTGTGCACATCAGCTCAGGCTGCAGAGCTTTCTTAAACCCCAGCTTAGAGGACTCAAACTTCAATGGAACATCACGCATTCCTTTCCAGCAGTAATGAACACCCAAATAAGGCCACCACCACTTCTCAGGAAGAAAAGATGAAGTTCATACATTCTCAGATAACACCATAGAAAGTGTCGCAAGATGGAGTGGCTCTAACCTTTGAACCTAAGCCTCCATCTATACCACCGTGAACATGCCTTATCTGAGTGAAATGCAGAGCAAGCTTAACCCGTGGGTATGTCCCCGGCACTTAGAAGTGGGGAGTTCGGGCCGGCGCCCTGGCCTAGCAGCTGAAGTCCTCGCCTTGAACGCGCCCGGGATCCCACATGGGCACCAATTCTAATCCCAGTGGCCCCACTTCCCATCCAGCTCCCTGCTTGTGGCCTAGGAAAGCAGTCAAGGGTGGCCCAAAGCCTTGGGACCCTGCACCCACATGGGAGACCTGGAAGAGGCTCCTGGCTTCTGTCTTTGGATTGGCTCAGCTCTGGCTGTTGCAGTCACTGGGGAGTGAATCATTGGACGTAAGATCTTCCTCTCCGTCTCTCCTCTCTGTATATCTGACTTTGCAATAAAGAAAATAAATTAGAAAAAAAAAATGGGGAGTTCGGCAAGGAAAGGGATCCTGCTTGATTCAAGGAAGTAGAATGGGGGAGAGAAACGCACAACTGACTTTCACTTCAGTGGAAGGAAGAAAAGACTGAAATCTGAGACACGAGTGGCATCAATAATTCAGACAAACTCAGGTCTGTCCACGAGAGGATTAGTGACTGGCATGAAAATACCATTGCATCCGTCCATCCCCCCGTGTCCATGCAGGATTATGAAGCCAGCTCTGTACACAGCCAAACCCAAAGAGGCTCAAGTCCTTGATAAAATGACATAGTATTTGCATTGAGCTACACAACCTTCCTATACACTAAATAATCCTAAAATTGTAGCCCCTAACGCAATGTAAATGTTTTCTCAGTAGTTGCTATTATTTAGAGGATAATGACAATTTTTAAAGTCTCTACATGTTCGGTACAGGCTCATTTTTAATGAATATTTTCACTCCATAGATTGAATCCACAGATGTGGAATTCACAGATGTAGAGCCAATCGTCCTGTAACACAATTAAAGATATACAATTACAAGCAGCTAAAGCCAGTGTCCAGCAAAGTCAGTCCACCAGAGCAAGTGCAGGGAAACAACTTCAATCATACAAGGAGCAGACACTTGGCGTAACAGCTAAGACATCACTTGGCATGCCTGCATGCCACACTGGAATATGTGTGCCCAAGTCCCAGCTCTGCCTGCAGTTGCAGTCTGCTGCTACTGGACACCTTAAAAGGCAGCAGGTAATGAGCCAAATAACTGGGTCCCATCCACCTGGGGGACTCGGATCGAGTCCCTAGCTCCTGGTGTCAGCCTGGCCCAGCCACAGATGTCACAGCCATTTAAGGAGTGAAGCAGCAAATAGCAGGTATCTTTTACTCATCTTCCCATCTTTCTACCAACTTGTCTATCTACTTATCTATCTTTATCGTTCTCCCTACCTTTCAAATGAATAGAACAAATACGAAAAAATGCACATGTGTCTCCCACAGAGCCTGATAAAACACAGATTCTGTCGCTCAGGTCTGGGCTATGCCCGAGACTCCGCTTGTCTAAGCCAGCATCCAGGAAAGGCCAATGCTTTGAGTACTTGCTGGGGAGACACAAGTTGTTCAAAGTTTCCATTTGAGTTCAATCTACTCACTAATTCACAGACAGTAAGATCATGTGCTCTAAGATGTTCATAGGAGACATTTTATAATCCACTGAAATAAGAGACAGATTTCTGCAAGGCCAAGTGAGCAAGTAAAAGTGCTTCCCGAAGAGTTTGCTCTCCCAGCTGATGGTCACCCCCAAAGAGTCCAGTCCACGCAGTGTGAGTATTGTTATCCACTGACTGCTCACAGCAAGGGAGGCCTGCCTGCATGTGAGTCCAAGGCATTTGCAGCTTCAGGTTCTGGGCACAGAGAAAGCAGGTAAGCTTCCTGGGGTCCACTCAGCTTTCCTGCATATACGACATGAAGAAAGATGGGCGCTTTTACCAAATGCAGCCTTCCCAAACATCCTTCGACATGTCTTTGCTGAGCCCTAACTGTGCACACTGCTTTTTGCTAGGCTGTGAGGTCCCACAGAGAACCTCAAGGTCAGAAACCACACCTCAAGGAGACTGTACTCCTAGCAGATTGGTGACAAATGCTGTGGAGGAAAAGCGACCAGCAGAGGAGGACACAGCGGGGCCAGTGGAGGAGGACATAGCCGGGGCCGGGGGAGGAGGACATACCCGGGACCAGCAGACGGCGCTCTGTTCAGCTGAGCCATCAGAGGAGGCGTCATCCAAAAGGTGCCTTGTGAGCTGAGCCCAAAGACAAGTGGCAGAAGCAGAACAAGCCACACTGGGCACAGAGAAAGGACGTCACAGGCAGGGTAGGTGGCCTGTGCAGCATCACTAAGGTGGGGGGGGGGGGTTCCTGTCGCTCCTCCCATCGGATGGGCGGGGACCAGGCCGATGCGGGTGAGGGACCGTGGAGAAGTACAGAGGACACAAACACTGATGTGATAACCAGGGCCTCCCCACTTGGTCCTGCAGCCCACGTCCACACAGAGCTTTCCTCTCTTTAACAAAGTTCCACGGGCAAGACACGATCTAATCACTTATCTATGGGCAATCCTCTCCCCAGGAATATGTGGAACTCGGCCACCTATGAGAAAAATGGAAGCAGGTGACTGTCCTCCGGGGGCAAATGAACCGGCTCCAGGATTAACTCCCCCTTCAAAGCAAGCCCCCAGGGACGACACTAGCTTCAGAGTCCTTTGCAAATATGAAGTAAATCCACCTGCCTGTGTAAAGGCAGGACAAACCAGACATAGCAGTCTTGGCCTTACATGAGACTATGTAGTCCTTGTGTCTGACCTGTGGACAGTAAGTGTTGGACAATGGCTCAGAGAGTGAATGAAGGCTCCTGGACACCTCCCCCAAGAAGCTGCCTGCATGAGGTAAGCTGAACCCCACATCAAGATGTTCTGGAGCGTTCTGTTCCGCACAGTCCTGGAAGACCTCGTGTGCCTTCTTATTTCAGGATTATGACAAGCTGAAGACAGGAAGGCAAGATAACTATCCTGAGAAAGTTCTTCCTGTCTTCATGAACAGCTCCTTGTATCCTTAAGAGTGCATAAGACGAACTCCCAGGAAAGCATGAACAGGAAACCACTATGGGCAAAGGCCCTGCCCAGGCATCCTCCATGACATCTAATGATGACAGATGTCACTGCAAGCTGGCAAGCACATGCCATCTGAAAGCAAAACCCATGTCCTCCCCCAC